GGTACCTGCTTTGAAGTGTGGCTTCCCAAGTCAGCCCAGTTGTCACCATGGCTGTGTTTGACTTCCTGACTTCTGGAGTAGGCACATTTCATGTGTGAGGCTTAGAGAACTCAAAGGCTTTGGCTTCTGAGATGGGAGCCAGACTGCCTGTTAGACGGTCTGTTTTTTCTTTTATTTATTTATTCACTTTCCAGAGTATCCCTTATAAATTGGATCCTTCAGCTCTGCCGTGAGGATACAAATGTGACTAAAAAAAGCAGGAATGCATTTCTTTGCGCTACTGCTACATGCCAAAGCTTGTCAGTCAATGGGACATAGGAACTTCATACCCCCAGATTCACTACTGTGAGTGACATACCTGGGATTTGAACTTAGGTAGGGCAGTACCCACAGCTCACATTTCACAGTGTGGTGCCATATTCCAGAACAGTAAACCTTCCTGGGCCTTGGGTGGAATTGCTGGGGTCCTCAGACATCTACACAGAGTGGTTCCTGCCATGTAAGGAAAGGCGACAGGTTCGGCAGGAACATAGAGCTTTCAAGTCAGCTCTGCTGAGCACAGGACATTTAGGAAGATTTCATCCAGATCTTGGCTGCAGTTAGAGCATAGAGACCAGCCATTGGACAGATGGTGGCAGTTGTGTCCTAGACAGCTGGAGATGTGGTTTGGAGCCCTGGGGCTCTTTGGAGCTGCCATTATATGTACATTTAGGTTTGTGAAGTCTTCCCTCCTATTACTCCTGAGATCTCCTGACTGAGCTCTTCTGCTTTCTTCTGCACAAATGCTGGTTAGCCTCACTTGCTACCTGTGCTACCCTTGGCCTTTGTAAGTTTAACCTGTATTCACTCTTCGTGATTCACACAACAGATATTTATTGAGTATCCACTCCATGCCTCACATTCTTCCACTGGCTGAAGGCATAGTAGTGAACAAAGCAGGCAGACATTTCTCCTTTTCTGTTATCATGTGATAGTGGGAGAAGATGTTGTACTAGGAACAAGTAACTACAAAGTATGTTAGATGATAATTAGTGCTACTGAGAAAAGTAGCAAACAAGGGAGTAGAAAATGTGTGTGTGTGCACTTGTGGGTATGTATGCACTGTAAGAGGGAGGCTAGGGAGAGTCTTGTTGAGAAGGTGACATTTGAATAAAGACAGGAAAATGTGAGGGTTGGAGGCAGGTGAATTTCTTGGAGAACAGCAGGTGCAAAGGTTCTGAGGGCTGGCATATCTGGGGGGTCATAGGAAGTGGAGGGGTTGGAGGTTAGGTAGGTGTGTGGCAGATAACTTTAGCATTGAGGACTGTTGTAGGGCTTTACTCCTAAGTGAGCCACTAGAGTCAGCATTTGTTTTATGCAGAAAAGTCCTGTGAACTCCTTTGTTTTACTACTAAATTGTGGTAAAACACACATAACATAAAATTTAACTGTAGAGTCAAATAGTTAAGTACATTCATGCGCAACTGATTTCAGAATTACATCTTGCAAAACTACAACTCCATGTCTATTACACAACTCTCCATTGTCCTCTTCCCCAGTCTCTGGTAGCTGCCTTTCTACTTTCTGTTTGAGTGAAGTTAACTGTGGCAGATCCCACCTATACATGAAATCAGACAGTGTTTGTGGTTTTGTGACTGGCTTATTTCACTTAGCATACTATCCTCAAGACCCTTAGTTATTTCAATAGCACATGACAGAATTTCCTTTCTGCAAGACTGAGTAATATTCATTGTATGTATGCACTGCACATCCCCATTCTCTGCTGATGGACATTTGGGTTGCTTCCTCTTTTGAACAGTGTGATTAATGCTTCTGGGAACATGGGTATACCAAATGTCTCCTTGGGATTTCCTTTTACTTTTTTAATATGCTTAACTAGAATTGCTCCCCATCATGAATGTGTTTATTTCCACACACATATACTAAAAAAAGGGGTGGTGCAAATTCTATAACGTTATTTACTGTAAGATCCTACTTATGTTTCAAAATCCCTGAATATATTAAATATATTTATCTTTAAATATAAAGATCTGACAATTTTTAAAAAGTAGAATTGCTGGATCATACGGTGAATCTGTGTTTAATTTAATGAATCTTTTACTATTTTCTCCAGTGTCCCCCCCTCCCATCCTTTTACATTTCCTCTGGCAGTGAACACGTGTTTCTGTTTCTCCAAATTCTCCTCTATACTTGCTACTTCTGTTTTCCTTTAGTGGTCATCCAAAGATGTAAGACGATAGCAGTTTTTTGGTTATATTTCCTTGATGAATACTGATTTTGAATATCTTTTCATATGCTCATTGACCATTTGTATACCTTCTTTAAAGAAGCATTCATTTAAGTTCTTGGCCCAGTTTTTAATTAGAGTGTTTATTTTCCTTTGTTGAGTTGTCAGGGTTATTTATGTAGAATCATCTGGGACACCTCACAGATAACAAAATCCATAGATGTGCAGGTGCCTTCTATAAAATGACACAGTATTTGCATATAACTATGTTCACTCTCCCATATACTTTAAATCATCTCTAAATTATTTTAATATCTAATACAGTATAAGTGCTATATAAATGTTATACTGTATTTCATAGGGGATAATGACAAAAATGTTCATACATGTTCAGTACAGGTACATGTTTTTTTTCTAGAATACTTTCAGGCTGTGCTTGGTTAAATCCACAGAGGTAGAAACTCCTGACTGCATTCTGGAGATGAGTCTCTTATCAGTAATTTGGTTTGTAAATATTTCCTATTGTATGAGCTGTCTGCCCACTGACTTTTATTAACAGGATTTCTCTAGGTTGGGAATAGATTGCAGCTAAAGGATGGAAGGTGTAGCCATTGACCTCTAGTCTGGCTTCCTTCTGTGGAGGTCTGTACTAGAAGACTTAGGATCACTTTTTGATGCTCCTCCTCTGTAATCTGCAGGCCCCACCCCCATATTCTCTGGTGCTTATCTCCAATTGCTGCCCTTTCACCTACTACACTGTGAGGCCTCCCCTGCTTGGTCCCTCACTGAAGCATCCTGGTCACAGGCACCTGTCCCAGCAGCTTCTTCCTGGCAGAATAAAAAGTGTGATCCCCTTGTCTCCCTTATGAGTCCTTTGTGCAGAGGAGGGGCCCAGGATGAGTTTGAGTATTGACATGAAAGATAAAAGGTTTAAAACAAAAGCAAAGACCAAGGCGTTGAGGTGATGTGGGTGAGAGGAGGGAGAGAAGTGTGAGACACACGAGGGCTTTCACAACCATCCCGAGAGTTTCGCTTGTGCACAGTCTCAGCATGTGAGGCCCATCTTTGTGCAGTTTTGGGTGAAAGAGCCTGGCCCTGGACCCTCTTTGCCTGGCTTTCTGGGACTGTAGTCAGAGTTCTAGAGAAAGTCTCGACACTCTTGCCTGTATTTCTTGTTCTTTTTCTCCCTGTAACCTTCAAAATAAGGGTTTTTCCCTCTTATTTTAGAATCAGAAAACTAAAGAGACTGTATCTTTATTAAAGAACTTAAAGAACTCAAAAGAAGTAGCGCAGTGCGGAGGTGTGTTCTCCCCATTCTTGAGAGGGCTCCCTGTGGGCAGAGCTTTGCCCTTGCAAATGGAGTTTGAGTTGAGGGCCTGGGAGACTTGTGGAAACCACAAAGGAATCAAGGAGAAGCCCGGAGCTTCTGGGAATAAGGTCCTTGTTTATGCTTTTTGGAACTGATTTGGTCAAGTGTTTGTTTAAAAGAGATGCCATTTGGTAAGCAATGCCTGGCTTGCTTGATTTGTGTTCCAGAATATTCTGACTGGCTGGAGAACAGCCCTGTTGCTAAGAATGGGTCCAAATGTGTATCTGGAACCCAAGAGGCCAGTGCTGCCTCATCACACACTCTCAGGTTTCTACTATTGGAGTTGTGCCAGTGTGGTTTGAATGCCAGGGAGAACAGCAGGGTAGTCCCCACCTGGATTGGCATTCACTACCTTTTTCCTATTAGTAACTGCTGGTTGCTTGGTTAGCTTGTGGGCCTGGCAGAAAAAGGATTAAGACCCAAATAAGTCATGATATAAAGTGGCTCTCTCAGAGCAGTAAACACCGACACTGGTTAACATTGGAGGCTGCTTCAGTGTGGTTTCAGTTTGAATCATTCCCTCAGGTGTGTCTGGCCTGTGGTCCATGGTTTAGATACTCCTGCATTATAGTCAAATATTAAAAATTAAAGAAATTTTGTTACTTATATATGTTTATTATAATTTATGCATGGCCCAGGACAGTTCTCTTCACTCAGTGTGACCCAGGAAAGCCAGCCATCCCCACCTGTCAGCTACAGGATATACACACCTGGCAGAATGACAGGTTGTGGTCCCATGTTTCTGGTGCAAAAACTAAGGCACAAATTCTTTAAGAGTGTAGAGGTGAGAGCTTTGATTCTGGTTTCACCTAGAAAGTGAGCTTCCCTTTCCCTTATTAGATTGTTAAGATTTTGCCATCATCATTTAAATCATTATCATTGTTTAAAAAAAAAATCTCTGTTTCCATGGCTGGCACTGTCAATGTCAGTAAAACGTGAGCTGTTTAACAGGTTCTTACATTGGATCACACTGATGCCTATAATCCTGAAAGTTATGCCACTGGTCTAGGTTCCAAAGAGTATAGATGGGAGCTGGGTTGGAGCTGGTGGTTGCACCAACTCATCCTTTATGGTTGGTGCATTGTTGGGTGCTGGGCATATCATTCTGGTCTCAAGCGATATTGTATACCACCTTTGCTCCTGCCCTTGGGCAGAGCACCTGAGTTACAGTACTCTGGCAGATAGACAACTTGTCCTGACATAAAATTGAGCACTTTCTCTGGCTCCCAGCTAACACGTGGTAACTTGATGGGAAGAAGAATGGGAGATCACATTTTGTGTACCACTGAACTATTATTTTTATTAAAGAATAAAGCAACTAGTAAAAATAGGAGAGCATAGTTTTATTTTCTTGTAGTTGTTCTGCATAAAAAGAAATGTTCATGTCACCTTTCCTTGTTTCAGACAGCACAATAAGATTCGCAGTGTGGAGGGCAGTCAGCTGAAGGCATACTTGTCTTTGGAAGTGTTGGACCTGGGTTTGAACAACATCACAGAAATCCGGAGCACCTGCTTTCCACATGGACTGCGCCTAAGGGAGCTGTAAGTACTTCTGCCTCCTGGGCCACCCTTCTGCTTTCCGGCCAGGTAATGGCCTGCCTGGTGTCCAGGTTTGACCTTGAGTGAATACTTCCTTTGCTTCTCAGCCCCAGCTGGCACAGTCGTTGGGTACAGTACAGGCTTTCTTTGGCTTTCCTCAGCAAGGCCCCATTTATAGAGCATTTCCAAGTCTCATAGCATTCTTCTGACATTACAGACACAAGGGGAAGCTGAGGCAGGCAGAGATCCTTAACATTAGCCTGTTCATGAACGTACCATAAAGCCTATTTTGGTTCCTATCTGTTGGGTTACCTCCCAGAAAAGCTTGGAGAGAAAACATGGATGTCAGAGTACTCACATTAGAGGGAGACCTCTGTGAACTTGTCAGTGCTGATCTTTCTAGTGGCATGCCCCATTAAAACAAGTCATTCAGTTTATTTAGGGAGGGCAGTGACTTTGTTGTGTGGGTTCTCTGGACCTTTTAGGTTTATTGTCCTTTAACCCATATTAATTCCCCATTTTATGTGCAGTAGAGAATAGACAGAGGTAAAAAATTTTAAAACCTAAGTAATCTACTACTTGTTGTAGGAAAATGTTTCTTTGGAGAACACTCTGAATACCTACTGTAAGAGACTTTTTCCTATTAGCAGTGAGTAATTTTGAAACTCATTTGCAAGGCTGGTTTACAGGTCATCATGACCCATCTTTTCAGGAAAGTGAATTTTCCAAGAGAAAGGAGTAATTTCTTTCTTTGGCTGCATCAGGGTGCTAGAATTGGGACTAGGAGGCCTTTGCCTTTGTTAAATCCTAAATGGGGGCTTTCAAAAGGTGTCCAGCTGCCACCTGACACTTCATTGTTTGGGACACACCACCAACTGCTCATCGGAATTAGTCTTCTTTCCCTACTCAAAAGTGGGAGGGACATTCTATCTTGGCAGCTGGTGGCTGGTATATCTTCATCACACAGACTGTTCTTCTCTAATCTGGAGTGTTAAGAACAAACAGTCCAGCCCCATTTGCCGAGAATCCTCATGTGCCCTGTCCTGGGCCTCTGCCTGGTGGAGAGCCCACAGGTGCCTTGCCCATCACCCCATGATGAAAGATTTATTCTAGTCTTTTTTCTTTTCACACAGGCTAAGAGGCACCCAGCCTTTGTTTGAGACAGGCAGTAAGAGATATTGGGTCTAGCTTCTCATAGGAGGACCACATTGGTCCTTCTCTTTTTGTTACTTGATATAATTTGCACACAGTGAGATGCACACGTCTCTGTTGTTCACGGCAATGCATGTCTTTGCTGTGTGTTCATGGGAGGCATTCCTGACATACCTAACCTGTAAGTGCAGGCATCATGAGAAGGTAAAGGACTGGGCACAGTTCTCTTTAACAAGAGTTTCTTGGAAGCATTTAAAATTATTTGAACTGGTTTTTATGTACTTGCTATATAAGTCATGCATTGAGATTCGTCTCCCAAAGACTTTTTCCCTTCCCCAGTTTGTTAAATCGGCACCAACCTTGCTTCTCAATTTCATTTTGCTTCCTAGGCTTCTTCTCATCAACCTGGGGCAGTAGGGGTGAGGAAGGAGTACTGCAAGTGGGTTCTGAGGATACCAGTGGGTGGCCAGACTGGTGTGTGAGAGGGTCTGGGTGAGGTGTGTGACTGTCAGTCCCCCCGACTCTTGGCCCTACCAGCCTGAAGTAGTGTGCTGTGGCTGAAACAAGGCTGGCCTTGAGGCCTTTGTTGGACAGTCCTGCAAGCTCTGTCTGATTCCTACGTGGGAGTCAGTACAGGCTTCAGAGCCTTGTGATAACAAATGTCTCATTGGAAACCTGTCTCTCTGTGTGTGTCCTACCGGGTTTTCCCAGCTCAGACCCAGCTGGGTCCTGTGTCTAGAGCAGAATGAGGAAGGCCCCCTGCTGCACTATATTTTCTCCCTGAATCATTCCAGCAACCTGGCAAGCAACCGCATTGGCACCCTGGAGTCAGGAGCATTTGATGGTCTGTCACGGTCGCTGCTTACTCTTCGTCTGAGCAAAAACAGGATCACCCAGCTTCCTGTAAAGGCATTCAAATTACCCAGACTGACACAACTGTGAGTACAGAAACCTGCACTTTAATTAAGGTTAGCAAATTTTATGGGACCACATTTTCCCCAAGGACTCTATACTAAATGCAACCCCTTCCTCACTCTCCCTTGGTGAAGCACTGCATAAACTATTATTAATGGCTAACTGGCAACACCTAATAAAAGCAAATCAGGAGCTAGGTCTGGTGCTGGTGGGCTGCCTTAGATTGCTGAGTGAAAAGATCCACTGAGTATATATATATAGGTACTTGTCCTTGCTGACATTTTCCAAAATGAAATGGAGGTTAGTGGATGCTGGCTGATGTTTAGGCTGTGTGTTCAGTTTCTTATTTATTTCACAAGTTTTAGTGTCACTTTTGAAGGAACCCATAAAATGTATACCTTGGGCACAAGAACATCTGGCATTCCTTGAACAGTTTGACAGATAGTCAGTAGGAGATGCTGGTTGTCTTCATCTCCTAAATCTTACAAGGTAGTTAACTTAATTTTTTCTCTTAAAATGATTTATTTAGTTAGATTTTCAATAACCAAAACCAATTAATTGTACTTCCAGGATGGTGTGGGATTTTAGATTCAAGAAAAACTAATTAATCAAAACCTAGTGAAAGACTTTTATCCCTCCCATCAAATTACCATCTGCTACCTGGGTGCTAGAGAGAGAGTACTGGATTTCTCTTCTTTCTCACATCCCTGTCTTTTCTCTCTCCCCTTCTCTCCCTAACCCCCCTTCTCCTCTTATTTTTAGTAGAAGGTGTATTTCAGGAAATAAGCCAATTTTGGAAATTTGGTTTAAACAGGACAGAACACTTGATGAAGGCCCAACTGGTGGCAGAACGGGGGTCCCTAGCCTTTACTGCGGCATGTCACCTCCCCTTGGCTGGGAGATCTGGGCTTAACTCTTCTCAGTTCAGGGAGAAGATTTTATTGATGCTAAGGGAGCTTTGTAGGAAGCAGGGTCGTGCTTCCTACAAAGACAGTATGGAAGTATTTGAGGTTAGCCCTGGGTTCTCTGCCCTTGCTCCAGAGCTGCTAATGGGTACAGCCCACCCAACTTTCTGGCATTTTTTGGTCAGCCACGGTTTTGTTATGCAAGGGCTAGAAGCCAAGTGGATATGCTTTACCACCACTACCACCCCGAAACCTGCACCACACCACCACCTTCCCCGACACAGGCAATAAGTTCTCTCTGTATGTAGAGATCCTGTCAGGTACTTCCAGTAGAAAGCATGACTGACATTTGATAGTGGTTAGGACTCTCTTGGGTTGAGGTGTCTAGTGTGGATATCTGTTGCTGAGCTAATAGACCTCACCCAAGCGGTCTACATCCTAAGTCATGGCCATGTCCAGTCTGCAGAATCATGAATGGCACTGTACCCTCATGCAAGACAGGTGGAGTATTCAAGGTTCAAGGTACCCCAGGCCAGCTCAGAGTTAGATTTGGGGAGTTCTGTATGCTGCTCTTTCCAAAGTGACCTCAGCATTCCATAGCAATAGGAGCTGCATGCTGGATGGGGCACAAGTTGAACATCTTGGCTCCCTGGCACCCCTTCACCGCTATTGCCCTACTGCTGCAAACTCCAGCCAGGCCTGTCTGGAATGCACTTGAGGTGCTCAGACCTGTCTAACCCCTTCTCTTAAGGGACCTCAATCGAAATCGGATTCGGCTCATCGAGGGCCTCACATTCCAGGGACTTGACAGCTTGGAGGTGCTGAAGCTTCAGCGGAACAACATCAGCAGACTGACTGATGGCGCCTTCTGGGGGTTGTCTAAGATGCACGTACTGTAAGTATAGGGAGACCGAGACTGGGGTGGGTTTCTGTGCTGTGTGTATGTGTGTGTACTCCACACACATTCATCCATCTGAGCACTGGGTTTAAGGACCACCCCACTGAACCTGCCTTCATCTGAGCCCAACTCTGTCTTTTTGTGTTGGGTCAAACCTAAGGGTGCTTTTCTGGCTGAGAAGGAAATTCTAGAGAAGGTTTTGGTGCATTAGAGCAGGTAAGGTGGAGGAGGGAACCCTTCTGCTCTTCACCCCTACTTCCTCAGTGAACTCCATCTGCAGAACAAACTCTCTCCCCCATATCCTCTCTACTCCCACACTTTACAGGACGTTCCCTCTCTCTCCACCCAGGCTTTACAGTCTTTGGTGATGTGCAGGTGGGCCAAAAATGTATAGTTTGTCCTAGGAGATTCATTTCTTCTGCCTTTTGGTTTAATGGAGACCCTTGGTGCAGATGTGCAGCTTTTACCAAGGGAGTATTCCCTTTAACCAGATGTGTATAATGGGGAGGAAGAGGGGAAAGGCAGAGCAAATAAAAAGAATGATAAATGCTGCATATTTTAATAAAAACAAAATATTAAAAAAGATGCATACCACAGCAGGGCTGCCTGCCTACTAGAATAACAACAAAAAAGGCACAGAAATGCAGTTATACATCTCCTATTTTTAAGCGTTTATTTTTAATCTAAAGTAATATATCTGCATAGTTAAGTCACAGTAAAGAAAAGCAGTCTTTATCTACTGTCCATTCTCTCTTTACTCTTCCTTTTTGAGCAATGATAGAAAGATGACAAAAAGCAAACCTTGGTTCAAAACTCTTATAATAATGAACATGGAGCAGAATTTGAATTAGTGGCTTTGATTAAGGATATAATTTTATCTGGGATTCAGTGATCCTGGGCAAGGATGCACTGTGTTTGGGAAGGAAGGTAAAGAATACAGACACACCTGACAGGTCCCATCCCTATAAACACATTGGAAGTTGAAAATGCATTTGCTGCACCTCATGTGCAGAACACCCTAGCTGACCAGTAAGTGGTTTCCTGTCATGATCATGGGCTGGCTGTGAGGCCTGCAACTCACTTTCACAGCCCAGTCCTGTAAGACAGTCACGTCACATAGCACTAGTCCAAGAAATATACCACATTCAAAATTCCAAGTGTGGTTTCTATTGCACGTGTATCACTTTTACCCATCATGAAATGGAAAAGTCATAAGTTGAGCCATCCTAAGGCAGGGTCTGTCTATTTACCCACAGTTGTTGAAAGCTAAGTCCTAAGCACTGTGCTAGCATTCTTACATATTTTCTTATTTTTTTTCCTCCTATGGCCTTATTATACTGATGCTGTTGAGTATCTCTATTTTATAGATGTCTAAGATCTCTATTTTAAGCCATCAAAGTGGCAAAATTAGGATTTATTGCCACTAGAATTATGGAAAGAATTAAGTTCTTGAACCAGCATACCACTGTCTGACCCTGGAGCTAAAGCTGGGTATCCTGATAGAGTGGTCCACAGCCCCGACTTTTGTTAGCCAAATAGATTTAGATCACTTCTGGCCTTTCATTCTTTGCTATGCTGGGGAATCTTAGGTAAGTTACTTGACTTCTGTCAACTTCATTTTCCTCTTCTATAAGATGGGCTGCTTCCTTTCCTTTCTTCTTTCTCTCGTTTCCTGGCTTTGCCCTACTGAGAACTGCTTGCTCACTTGTTGCTTGGTTCACTTAATATTTTGCTAAAATGTCATTTCTAGGGAGCTTCCTCTTGTCCCTGAACCTCTGGAGGCTGTCTTGGCATCTTCCTATGTCTGCCTTGGTGGTTCTCCTGCCACCCCTGTGTGTGTGTGCACATAGATTATCAGACTTCTCTCGTGTATTGTTCTGTTCTTGGCACTGATACAGCGCAACTTTTTCGGGTTCATTCGATAAATGAATGAAAGCTCCTCCCTCATCCTGCATATGACTGTCATTGCAGGCACCTGGAGTACAACAACCTGGTGGAGGTGAACAGTGGCTCACTGTATGGCCTCACAGCCTTGCACCAGCTACACCTCAGCAACAATGCCATCTCTCGCATTCACCGGGACGGCTGGAGCTTCTGCCAGAAGCTGCATGAGCTGTGAGTATCCTCAGCTTTGGTTTTAATAGTGTTTGGAGACACTGCCTGAGTCCTACCACCCAGAAGCAGTCAGCCTACCCCACCGCACAGGAGGGTAGAGTTGGTGGGGGTGGAGAATAGAGTGAGCTGGCGGCTCCTGTAGCCCTGTACGAGAGGAAGACAGATGCCCAGAGAAGGTAGGCCTGAGATGGGATGGTCAGGGTGTAGAACTCTAAGTTCCTTTAGTTTTCTCCCTGCCACCCTCTGTTTTACGACTTGAGGCTATAGGAGTAGTACCCTGCAGGGAGCTTTTGTCCCCAGTTCTTTTTTTTTTTTTGGTTTGGCTGGTGGGCTGTGTGAAACTTCTGTGCCTTTTGGAGGGATTGAAAGCCTCCAAAGTAAGCCTTGCCCTGTCCTAGCATTTAGCCCCATAGCCAGGTAACTTCAGAGCCTGACTGAAGGTTGCTTTTCCGAGTCTCCTTTAAGCTGCATTCTTTTAATTGCAGGTGAGAATATGATTTTGATCTGCTGCCAGGTCTTTGTGATTGACAGACACCATGACATTTCTCTGAGAGGGAAAGAATGTTGCTCCATGCCGCTTTTAAAAACCTAGTAATCTCTACCTTTTTTTTTTTTTTTAAACGCCCCAGCCAGATTTCCCGTTTCACCTATAGATAATGACTGGTATGCCAAGTCACCATCCCAGGAGTTTCAGGAGTTCAGGGAGGAAGGTTTGTTGACCTGAGTTCAGGGAGGAAGGTTTGTTGACCTGAGGGCCATGTTTCCTGTCCTCCTCACAGAGGAGGTGGGAGAAGACCCCCACTGCCTTGGATATCATTCAGATAAGGAGGAGGCTTGGTTGGGGTCTTCCCATGTGGGTCTCGGGCTGTGGCTCATGGTGCCCTCTGCTGGCCGACGCAAGGAGTGTAGTTGGAGTTCCCTTGTCTTTGTGGAGACCCTGCAGTCTTGTCTTTGGTGTCAGGCATCTGCCGAAAGAGGTCTTTCACAGCTCAGATCAGGACCAGCCAGGGCCACAAGCCTGAAGGGTTGGAGCCTCTCAGTTCTTGGGTTGTGTGCTTTCGTGTGAACTCACAGTGTAACAGACACTGGCTTCTATTCTAGTTGTCAGATGATGCAGATGTTGGCTCCCTGTGGATTTTGAGCTACACGGCCACTTTTACCTTCAGGATTCCTGTGCGTGCACGTGTATGTCCTCTTCCCACCGAGTTCTGGCCAGTTGTGGCCCTGTTGTTTAAGAGAGGGGAATGCAAACCCTAGGCCCAATAGTAACATTTTTCCCCCTGCACCTTCCTTAGGATTCTGTCTTTCAACAACCTTACACGTCTGGATGAAGAGAGCTTGGCCGAGCTGAGCAGCCTGAGTATCCTGCGGCTTAGCCACAATGCCATCAGCCACATTGCCGAAGGTGCCTTCAAGGGACTCAGGAACCTGCGAATCCTGTACGCTTTTACTGTTGCAGTTAAAGAATGAAGGGGCCCGGGGTGGGAAAGCAGAACAGGGTGAAGCAGTGGCTTTGTGGAATTCCATTCTCACTGGCATCAAGTCAGAATCAGATCCATAGCTTATGCCCAGTCTCAATTAAAACAATTTTTTTCCTAATACTGGGGACAACCAGGACTTTTTTACACTGAGTTACATTGCTAGTCATTTTTTGTTTTCATTCATTCACTGCAGTACTGAGAATTGAACCCATGGTCTTCACAACTGAGATACAACCTTAGCCCTATTTTATTTTTGAAACAGGTCTAAGTTGCTAAGTTGCCCAGGTTGGGCTCGTACCTGTGATCCTCCTGCCTCAGTCTCCTAGAATGCTAAGATGATAGGTGTGTATCACCATGCCCAGCTCAAACTTCTATATAATCAACTGAACAAGAACTGGTTGAGCAGAAAACTCATTCTCCCAGGGCAGTGCCTGTAGAGGAGTGATGGCTCTCTAAAGAGTTACTCACTAGCAGTAATTCTCAAACTGTATTTGGTAAGATGCTAGGGTCCTATTGTTAGGAAACTGTTAATGTAGGGCTCCTGTGGCTGTCTCCAGGGCACCAGTCATGGTGTCAGTCTTTGACTTGAGCCTTGTGATTGTGCCTTGACTTTTGTTTTGAAGTCCTGTAGATGTTTCCCTCTGAGCCAATGGAACACCATAGTTCATCTCTAGTGCTTCTTCAGGGAGCTAGTGCCCAGGCTGCTTCATTTCCAAGATGAATGGAAATAAAGAATCCTTTCTTTGTGCCTCATTTAGGCAGTCATTTTAAAAACCAAAGATAATAATACCTTGTTCCTCTACATGTCTAGATGGAGTTGTCAGAAACTACTACAGGATAATGCTTTCCTGGGACTTTTACAGAATGTTACAGTTGTCAGCTTCAGGCAGTTTCCGAGCAGCTGTTAGCATAAAGCCTTCAGAGGGACATGCAGTTTCCTTTAGATAGTGATAGTGGGTTCTGCGGCTTTCCTGAGCACAGCCCTCTGCAGAGAGAGGCCTGTGCAGTGGGATGGAGGGACTGCAGCTGGTAGGGTAAGCTTCAGTGTGAAGTCTTTGCAGGGTTGGTAAAGTCTGACACCAAGCCCTTGCATGGCCTGAGTAACATTGCTGGGAGGGGTTAGGTTGAGGACACTCAAGAGAGGCCAGGGTGTTCATGTAGAAGGACGCTCAAGAGAGACCAACTGGGTGTTCATGTAGAAGATAATAGAAGTCCCTTCCAACAGCAGTCACAGTAAGTCTTTCATCCTTCAGTTAGAACTCCTTCCCTATGGCAGCATCCCCTGGGAGCCAAGAGCAGGGTCCCTTTCTAGTCTCTGCCTGTGTCTGGGTCGGCTCAGGAGAGGGACGTGCAGGAGCCAAGTGCTTTTGGGAAGTTGGAACCAGTAGAACATGGGTCTGGCTTCTAGGTATGATATCTCATCTCTGTGGCTGCCCTTTTTGCTGGGGAGGTGGCTGACTAATTGGCCTTAGGACTTACATTGCTGGAGAAGCTGGCCCGATATATGGGCCTCCCTCATCTCTTTCATCTTGGCAAATAGGTCACATGGCTGAGTCAGCACCCAGATGTCCTTGCTGGCTCAGAGTACAGAACGATGCAGGCCTTGTGAGAATATGGGCTGTGGCCTAAGACCGTTGGTAGGGCCCAGGCCAGGGCCTCCTTCTTTTGTCGTCTCTTTCCTCCAGATTCATAGCCAAGTCTGGAGAAGAAAGGTACTGTGAGGTGAGAGGAGACAGGGCCAGACGTGGTTCCATGAGGGCAGAAGATAGAATGGTGTCCCTGTGCTTTCTGTGGTGTTTCTCTTCTCTGGGGCCCGGTGTGAACTGCTGGGAAGAAGCACATGAGAGCTGGGTTGTTTGAGGTGTGAATCAATTTTGTTGGCAGACTGAGAAATCCAGGCCACACTGAAGAGTTTGCAAAGCAGGATTCTGCCTAGGGCCCCATTTCTCATGACTGCATGTGACACTGGGCTTATAGGATATACATGGAGGTAGAAGCCTGGGTGTGAGGTCGTTTCCTCTGTATGTGTAAGAGTGGATGTTGAGCTCACAGTCTGTCTTTTCCCTAGGGATCTGGACCACAATGAGATTTCAGGCACAATAGAGGACACCAGTGGTGCCTTTGCAGGGCTTGACAGCCTCAGCAAGCTGTGAGTATTGTCCAGCATGCCACTGTGGTATGAGTGGCTAGTCTGGCAGCTAGCCTGGCAGCTAGCCTGTGCCTGTCTGTTCTGGACCCCCAACAGAGAGCAGTGCTACTGAGATCTGCTATTGTGGGAAAAAGAAGTTGAGGCCAGTTTTTAGGGCCTACACCAGGTTCTTCCTGGTGTTTGGTGGCCTGGAAAGTTTCTCAGGTGCACTCCACAGCACATGTGAAAAAATGTTAGTTTTTATTGTCTTTGCACAAAGGAGGGTCTTTGCCATCTCACTCAATTTCTACAAATTTTATAAAATATCTTGAGTAACTTGACAGGTTTTTTTGTTTGTTTGTTTTTTTTGTTTTTTTGGTCGGGGTGGAGATCAAACCGAGTCCTCTGCATGCAATGAAAGAATTCTACCACTGAGCAATGTAGTTGAGGCTCCTGTCAGTATGTTATCTCAAATAGAGTCATTACCAAGGACAATAGTAGTAGCTACTCTGAACTCAATGTTTTGGATCATTAACACACAGGAATGGGGGATCACAGTGAGAAGACAGTTGCCATTGATCTTCCCGAGCCCATCCCAATGACAGGGAGCTGAGCAGAGTACCAAGTAAAGTAAATATTTTGAAAGCCCTGGAGGAATCTGAGACCTTCAGGAAGTGTGGACAGTCAGCTTAGTAAATTCAGCTTTGTTTTGAAGCATGTGCGTTTTGACACTTTTGTGCTAGGTGGTTACTAAGAATTAGCTGTTGTGACTGAGGATTATTTGTTCTTAAGTCTCTCATGCTTGGATGGGATGTCAAAAGTACTGTCTGTTCTCTTCCCTAAAATGATGCTCCCCTTCCTCCAACTTCCTGGCTCCTTATTCCATACATGGTAAGTTTGGGAAGACCCAAAAGTAGCCACGGGCTGTGGTGCATGCCTGTTAAGAAGAGGAGCTCCAAGTTGGGAGCTGTGAGTGCAGAGCTGTGAATGCAGAGCCAGCAATTCTTGGCCTCAGCAGGATGAGCTGGTGGGTGGGCAGTGGTTGCACTGCTGTGTTCTCTGTTGTACATGTCGTGCCAGTGGAACCCAGAACTGCTCCTGGGTTTTGTGATTTCCAAGAGGTTCTTCCTCAGAAAACGCTGAAACTGCTGGAATCTGTGCTGTATAAGTCAGCTTGACTGCTTCCTGAGTACCTGCTCTGTTCCTTGGTGGTCCTCCTCCTTCCATTGCTGCAGTGGATCAGCAGCTCAGGGATATACCCCACCCTGTTTTCCTTCTGTTGTGACCTAGGCTCCACTGAGGTACTTTCTGCACACTGAGACTCACTACAGTGGAAGATCTCCTACCTTAGCTACTCAACCCTGCTGAGTCACTATCTTGCAGGTGAAGGCTCTGTGTTTGAGAAGGAGAAGGCCAAGACTCCCAATATTTGAGAAATTGTGACAGTAACAAAAATCCCTTAATGTGTTTAAATAAGCAGTCCGTGGTTTAAGTTTGAGGATCCCATGGTCATATTGCAAAAGGAAAGTGCTTTTCTTCTTGGATGAAAAAAGAATATGATATGATGCCTATGACTTGGATTTGAAATAATCCACCTGGGTTAAAAAATTGCAGAAGGGCAGAGCTAGAGGGAAAGTCCATTTGGGATAGCCTGTGGCTGGGGATGTAGTTTATTGGCAGAATACTTTCCTAGCAGGCACAAAGCCGTGGGTTCAAATCTCTAGCACTACAAAAAAACAAAAATACAACAGATTGGGACAATCTGATGACTGGTTTTGGCATGTGACAACCACTTTATGGTACTGTTCTGTCCTGAAGGTGTGTGAAAGTTTGCATTTTAAAAGGAAGTGAAGAAAGTAAATGGTTTCACATGATCCTGGTGTGCAGCTCCAGTTCAGCTCACTGCTCTGGGGGTAGTGAGGGTTGAGTAAATGTTTAGCAAGGGAACCAGCTGCTCCTTGTCTGTATACTCGACACATTGCCAGGAGATTCTGGGCCACCACATTGTGTTGCCCTATCCAGGTGGCTGGGACCATGGGATTCTGGGCAGTGGGCAGCATGGTAGCTCAAAGCAGGGCTGTCCTCCACAGTGCTGTGGAGATCGCAGTTGGTGCTGTGAGTCTGATCTGGCCTGGGTTGGCCTTTGGAGAGTATAGAGGCCCATATTCTGGATCTAGTCAAAGACCTGGGATCCTTTCTGCCGAGCAGGAGACCAGGCCTAAAGGTAGCTGTGTCCGGGATGTGGGGAGAGGCAGGCAGCGGAACCATGAGAGGCCTCCTTCCACGATCCTGAGTGGTGCTGCCCAGCTCTTCCTGTTTTCCGCTGCTGAACTTAGCCAGTGCAGACAGTTCTTGGGTAGTGGCAAGAGCAGCCCTAGATGTGGCCTGTTCTTTTCTTCTGTATTTGCACCACATCAGGGCACAGTCAGCACAAGGGAGGATAAAAGGGTCTCTGGACCCCAGAGGAGGGCAGTTAATTAGAACCTTGGTGACTGGCATGGGCCACTGGAGGCAGGCGCTGCTCCCTCGTATTCCTTTTCATGGAGCAGCTTGGGGCGCCTGTGGCATCTGTGAAGCAAGTGTACAGCCTGGGCTGTGGGACAAAGCTTCTGGGCTCCTGCTTGGAGAGTTGCTCCCAAAGACAGTGGGCAGAGCGGGGCTGCAGAGAGGATTCAGGGGAAGGGAGGGGTTGTACATGGCATGGCTTCTCCCAAGGGCATGAGAAAAAGGACCATGATGGTGCTGCACCTGGGCCTGCACTGTTGCTTTCACATTGGTCAGGAGGTATATACAAGGGTTTAGGAGGTGACTTCCCTTGTTCCTTTTTTGCTCTGAGTCAAGCCAACTGTCCCTTCATAGGAAGCCCTAGCTGTGGGACAAAGCATCCTTCCTCTCTATCCACCTAGCAGCTGTTTATTAGAACTGTCATAGCCTACCAGCCTGAGCACTGTCCCCAAGATCCCAGATGTCTCCAAGGAAAAGGTAACGGCCTCTTTTAATCCACCAGCAAGATGATTGGCCCTGAGCAATTGAGAATTTGAGGGTTTGGTTTATTGCTATTGTCACCACTAGAAATAATAGCCTGTTCTCATTGTAAAAGAGGTCAACATGACTAATATTTAATGGATGAAATAAAGCCCAGCTTTTTCCTGGCTCTAGTTTATGAGCAATTTCACTGCATAGCTCAGTTCATTTTTACTAGGACCTGGAACACAGTGCGCAGCCTGGGGGGATCTGAGTAAGTGTAGTAGTTGGCAGTGCCCTCAGACACATCACTGCTCGTTATTTGCTTCTAGGTCTATGGTTAAAGAGCCTAAGTTAGCAAGGCCACTGGGTTTTCTGTGCTCTTGGTTTACTTGTTTTAAAGTAAGTTTCATATTGTGAGGCTGCGTGAATGCTTTCAGGATGCAGTTGTTTTCACATCCATGTAGGCTGCCTCAGAGAAAGTCAAGGAGCGGGGTGGTTTGGTCTGTTTGCCCTTCACCATCTAGAAGAGGCGAGAAACAGAGCTAGCTTTGTCTATGGGCAGAACAGAGTGATTTCTGGGGACTGGCAGATGGGAGGCACCCCTGAGAAGCAGAGCAGTCTGTTTCTGATGAAATGAGTCAGGAACCTGCAGTGGCAAGACTGCCCTTGGCCCTTGGGCCGGTGGTGCCCTGGAAGCAGGGGAACAGGCACCCTTGCACCTGCTCTGAGCGTGACTGCTTCTGGCCTAGGTCCTTCCCTGCGTACCGTTTGTGGTTCGGCCCATGCTTAGCCTCTGTGCTGGGTAAGACCTTGGCTGCCCTGTTACTTTTAATTTCTAGCATTCACCTTTCCTTCATTTTTCTTCTTTTAGGGAGGAGCTTCTCTTTTGGGTCACAATCTTAAGCAAGGTGCAGGTAGAGTTGGCATGTAGTCCAGATCTTTCCCTGATTCTTAGTGAGCTCCTAGATCATTTCTCCCAAGAAGGGACTGAGCCGAACTCCCTTTCTCCAGCAGATCTTGTTTGTTTCTCTTTGTCCACCTGTGCCCTGTTACCTGGTAGTTTCTATCCAAGACCAGTTGATTTTGAGAATTCCCAGGCATTCAGCCCACTTAGAGAGTTCTTTTATTTTTATTTAATCTTGGGACATTAAAGTTGAAGAGTCCATTCAACTGGTTGCTCACTGACAGACAGGTTCCTGTGCCAGGAGGCCAGGGGAGTTGGCAGCATGCCTTTGGATTCTCATCAGAGACCATAATTGTATTACGCAGACCACAGAGAGAGACTTGATGCATTGCATTCTCTCTGTCCAGCACACCCTAGAGCAATGGTGGCAAACCTATGACATGTGTGCTGCAGTGAGCTGTTTGTTATCCCTGCTCTGGTGGCTCCCCTGTTGGGAAATGTGGAATCCACAGCTGCACTTTTTCCCATCTATAACTTGTCTGGTCCACAAAGGGCTTGGCCAATTCCCTGCTTTTACTGAGGGTAGAAGATGCATAGAAAATAGAGTACCATGTTTTATAATTTCGTTATTTTTTCTTCTACAATCTTAGCTTCAACTGAAATCCAATTCTAGAGCTAAAATGGACCCGTTGTAATTCCATGTTGGAAGTTAGGTTTTGAATAGAGTGGAAGCAGCCTTGTATTCTCCATGTGTCCTGCAGAGACAGACTTGAGAGTCTGAGAAACTCTGAGCCACTGGTTTTGGAACCACCCGTAGGTAGGGGCTGCTTCTCATGGATCAGCAGCCTAAGGGTACAGGTGTTAGATAACCTGGAAGATTGACTGTTGAGAACCCAACTGCATGGGACTTAATGAACTTTGTATATAATCTGGGACCTTGCTCAAGAAGCCACAGGATTGGGCATCTGCAGGGCATGAGGGGAGCACACAGCTCAATGGAGCTGCACCTGGATGCTTGGGTGTGTGTCTGGTGCAAAGAACTGTGGAGCCATCATGATGGACACCCATTTTCCCGTGCCCTTCTTGTCTGTTTGGGGGAATCACTGTCCCCAAAAAGCAGTTCTTAGAAGTGGATGGCAGTTTTTAATGGATACCATAGTTTTCATTGCTTTTTCAGGCTCTGCTTTCTCTTAATTTAAACAGTAACTAGTTCTTTGTCTGTTCAGAGGCCATGGCTTAGCCGCACGCTCACCCCTTTGGGGTTGTCCTTAGAGAAAGATAGCACATACTAGGCAAGGTGACTTCCATTTGACACTGCATGGGCCTTCCTAGGCTGGGCAGGGTATACAATTCCAGCCTGTCATCACTATGAAATTCTAATAAAGATGAGCATGTCAGTTCAGAAAGGGGAAGGCCTATAATCTCCACACAGGTCAGCTTTTCCCCTGCCTCTCATGGACAGGTAGCACTGCCCTAATTGTGTATTCTCTTTCCTCAGCCCTCTCCCGTCTCCCTAACTCTGATCTTTTCTGTTTGGAACTGCAGGACTTTGTTTGGAAACAAGATCAAATCCGTGGCTAAGAGAGCGTTCTCAGGTCTAGAAGGCCTGGAGCACCTGTGAGTACCTTCCCAGACCTTGCCTGCCAGAGGTGGCTCCCAGGGAAATTTGCTAAAATTTAATTGTATCTTTATAAATCAAGAAACAGACTATTTGCCAGCACCAGCTGCTTCCTTTTCATTATAAGTCACCTTCAAGTTTGGCCTCTGTTTTGCCTATACCAGAACAGGCATTGAACACATGGCTGGTTGCTGTACTCCTAATTAGTGTGCGGGAGTTTGGATAAGGACCTTCCTTTCTCCTGCTGCACGGTTACCCTTGCACCATGCTCCTTTGTGGGCACTTTCTCATTGTCACTTCCACAAGGTTTCTTTAACCTGGTGCAGTCAGTACCTCTGCTAAAGCAGCCATGATGAGCCACATAGTTGGCCTGACTACAGTCTTTCCTTCTGGAATGACCACCTCTGAGGCCCCAGGAGAAAGAGGACAGCCAGCCCCGATTGTTTCTGTTGCTTCTATAGTGGATGCTTCTAGTGTTTGGTTTCAGATTATTTCCTCTTTGAATCCGGTTCAACCTTAATTCTGTCAGGGAAGATTCTGCCTGTTGATTGAGCAGCATCCACCTAATATCAGTGCTGCCCTTAAGGCTGTCTTGACCCAAGTTGCTTTATGGGCTCTGTCAACACATGTGAAGTGAGAATCACCTCCAGTGGAATTATCTAGAGTCTAGGTAGTATCTGTGGGTCATCTCAGACACCAGGGCGGTCCCAGAAAAGTGTCCTGGCTCAAGCATGTGGCTGCCTTGAAGGGTGTCCAGGGTTTCTTTGCACAAGTCACTGTGTTCTATTTCAGAAACCTGGGAGAGAACGCCATTAGGTCTGTCCAGTTCGATGCCTTTGTAAAGATGAAGAATCTTAAAGAGCTGTAAGTACATGGCCACCATTGACATGAATAGATTTTTAGAATAAGAAACACTCTTAATTGTGTTGTGTCACTTCATGTAATAGCTGTGATTGTTTACAGGTGCACAGAAGCTAAATTGTCCTTTGCAAAAAGTGTTGTTACTCTTGAGCAGAAGAAAGCAGACTTTCTTAAAGGGGGATAGAGTACTTTGGACTTTGTGGGTTGTAGGGTCTATGTATGACTGCTAAGCTGTGTCATTTCAGCAGAAAGCAGCTGTAAATAATGCCTGAATAAATGGGTATGGCTGAGAGTTAGCGGAGCTAGGTTGGAACCTAGTTGCCTTTCTTTTGGCCACATGTGACTAATTTTGCAGCCAGTAAGTTCTAACTATAACGTCAGTTCCCTGCAGGTGTGGCTTTGGGGGCTCAGAAGTGTTTTGGTCATCCTTGTGCCCTGCCTCATTGCATTTCTGAAGCCACTCCTGGTGGACTCTTGTTGGGGCAGGAAAAGTGGGAGTGGGGAGACAGGTGCAGTGTAGGTGATGAGAACGGTGATGAGAACTGAAGTGGATAGGTGACATTCCTGAGAGGAGGGGAGGTACACAAACACTTGCCTCAAGGTGATCAATTGTTAAGAAACTTGAAGCCGCCAACTGCTTAGAAGGGTCAGGACCTAACAACAGGAGTTCATAACAGGCTCTCTGAGATCTTGGGGCCTTGTGGAATGCTCTGTTCTTTCAGCTTCAGCACTTCTGCGTCTGCCTATCTGGGAAAGACAGAAAGAAACAATTCCATAACTCCTATTCCCAAGAAAGCAGCAGGTGATGCCAGACCATTTTAGAAGGCTGGATATAGGAATCTATGGTAAAGCATGCTGAATGAAACATTGATTGTGAAAGATAGGTGTGGTGGTATGTGAGCCTTTTTACATACTTCTTTATACTATTCTGTCTTTGAAACTTGCAGATACTATTGGATTAAATGAATTGAGGATGTCTGGAAAGGAAGGAAGGAAGGTTTTCCTTTTGGGGTTCCTATGAGACAGTTTTCTAGTGAGGAAGAAAGTGGACCCTTCCAGAAGTTTGGACAGCCTCTACCCCCTCGCAAAACAAAAAATTGCTGTCCCTGATTCTAGAGGCTGAGCCAGGTCTCCTTCCTGGGTTTCCCATCAGTTAAGCTTATACCCAGCTGTGGCTGGCCTGGGCCCAGTCCTTTGAGGGGAGAAATGGATTCATTCCACTTGGTCATTCTCTTACCCCATCAGATGAGGGCAGGTTGTCCTGTACACTTAGTCATCCTCAGGGTAATTTTCCACAAGCAATAATTAAAAACACACTGTAAGTTGGAATCATGAAAATGCACAGTGTCACGAAGTATTGAGATGGCTGAAGGCAGGAGCCATGAAGACAGTGCCTGAAAAGGCTGCTCATGGTCCTCACCAGGCAGTGAACCTGACCCTGGTCAAAGAACTAGCAGGGTCGGGAGTCAGGAGGTCACTGTCTGCCCTACTGCCTGGCTTCAGTCCCTCCCATCTTTTTGGCCTTTGCCTCATTCCATAGGAAATCGCTCTTTCCATTCTTGTAGGGCCTGGTCTCTCCAAGATGGAAAATTCTCTAAACTGTGCCCAGTAGGCACACTGAATGGATTACAAGGCCCAGACCTTTCCACACATCTGATCGAGGGTAGAGGTTAAATTTGTTTTCCCCACTGTCTCATTCCCTGTCCCTGAATAGGTATCTCACGTGTCACAGTGATGACCCATTTTAGTCCATTGCTTCCCTGTACAATGCCCAGGCCATCCTGCTTTACCACAGCCCAATGTGCTTCTGATGGCAGACTTTCTTCTGTCTCTACCAGGCTGATGAAGTCCCCAGTGCCTGGCACAGCCATCCAGCTACCACATAGAGTGCATTCCTGTGATGCAAGATGCTCACCTACACATATGCAGAGAAGTCTATATTCTCACGGTTAGCAGGGACTGTCCTCCTGCTACCTACAGTGATGCTCAACAGAACAGCTCTTATTGTCTCTCGGCAGAATTTGACCTGCTAATCAAACAAAATGCACAGTCTTATAATATGGGCCTGTATCCCTACTATAAAACTTTAGGATAAATTATTTCAGTTTTTGGTAAAGAACTTTGCAATATTAGTAAGTTGCACAGCTTGTCTGGGAATATGGAATAGTAGATTTTATTTTAGTTGGCCTGGGATTAAATTTCATTCTTTCTTGCTATTTACTAGTTTGACAGTTTGTCTGCTTATTAGGAGGCAAGAAAGTAAAGTAGAACACCAGTCCTCAGGCTTATTTTATTGGTGTCTAAGGACCGTGGTGGCTGGCATATGTGTTTGAAATTTCTATGCTCTCTCATGCCTCCTCCTTAGGTCACCAGGTACAGAGATGGTTTGTTTCAGGCATGCCTGTGTTTGTTTGTTTGTTTTCTCTTGTATTTTCTCTTGTCATCAACCAGCCATTGCTCTTGAGTTTGAGCCTTGAGGTTTTGCAGGATCAGGGCAGCTGGACCCTCTGGGTGACTTCTTGTCTAGTGAGTCCTCAGGAAGGAATGTCTGCTCAGATGGCCATTCTGATTTCTGTTTGAAAAGCTTATCCTAAGTTGCTGAGAAATGAAAAAAGAAAATATTCTCTGTTTTCGTTGGAGCCTCACAAAACCAAAGTTGAGCATTCTCATGCTCTCTGGGCAGTGGCAATTAACTAAAAAGCACTATTTAGGAAACAGCTGAATTCTGCTGGCCTCCTTAGTAACGCTAGTGTAGAGATAACTAAGAGGGTCCATGTTGGTGAGGCTTCAACTTAGACATAAGAAACCATGCAGCACTGACAAGTCAAAAAGTAACCGCCACATAGGAAAACAGCACTCTTAGGATTTGTTGCAGAATTTAGATCAAAGTCTCAGACTGAGTTTGGAAGTCCAAGTAGCTGATCAGAAAAGGAAACACCAGAGAGGGGGAAGTGTTCCTGCCACTGTTTAGTGTATCCAAGGTCAAGACAGTCTGGAAGGCATCTCCAGGGTCACACGGGAGAATGTCTGCAGACAACAGTAAGGCTGCTGCACAGTGCTGTGGCTCTGGTGCGCACTCCGCATCACTGGGAGCGTGTCAGAGGAGCGTGTCAGAGGAGATTATGTCCGCTGTTCTCAGTTACTGGAGAAGTCCGAGAGGAAAAGTATACCCGTGTAGTGTGTTGGTGCTGGCACCAGAAGCCTGTGGAAGGTGATTGGTCCTGCTACGTAGGTAGTAGGAGTCACCTTATGGTCACTCGGTAAACATCAACTTCTCCTCTTCTTTCAGCCACATCAACAGTGAGAGCTTCCTGTGTGACTGCCAGCTGAAGTGGCTGCCCCCATGGCTAGTGAGCAGGATGCTGCAGGCCTCTGTGACAGCCATCTGTGCCCACCCAGAGTCGCTGAAGGGACAGAGCATTTTCTCAGTACCACCAGAGAGTTTTGTGTGTGGTAAGACCATCTTTGGCATTCTTTTTCCGCGAAGGGAAAGGCAGCCAGGAGGAACTACTTACATTATGGGAGTCATTCTTGGGCTCCAAGTCAGCTCCATCCTGTGGTTACACATCAGCTGCTGGATGCAATTTATTTCCCACTGAAACCACACACAGTACTTACTGTATGGTGCCTTATTATGTGGTTCTTGGAGTACATGCATTTAACCAGGGGAAGTACAGTGGGCTCAGCTGCACAAATCAAAGCAGGCAGTTACAGGAAGGTAGCTCTAATGTTTCAAGAGGGTGCTGGTGCCTGGTTTAGCTGTGAATTTACTCAGTGTATGAGGCTGGGGTTTTAATGTGTGTTTCTTTCCAGTCCCAAGAATGAGAGATTAAACACAGGAAGAGTGGGTCTCAGGAGAACATTTGCTGCTGTAAAAATAATTCCTCAATGTTGACTTGCACTCTTGCTGTTTCTCCAGACCACTAAAATCTGCACTGGTAGCTTGAGATGTTTTCTTCCTTCTGGTTGTTGGCATGTCGCTCTTGCAGTCTTTTTGACCAGGAGTGATCAGGGCCCAGTTTAATTGCAAAGAATGCAGAGAAGGCTGACCAGCTGAAAACACACACATAGGCTATCTTGCACAGGAGTGACATAGCCTCACAGCCAAGAAGATGGGAGTCTCAAAGAGCAAGCTGAGTTGTTTCTGGTGTTTGCCCTAAGCAGGATGAGGGCTTCCCAGACTCGGCTTGAACTGCTGGTCAGGTCTGTGCCCTCTTGCATTTCAGTCTACACTGCTCTCATTCCTCACCAGGAGCCTACTTCTCTATCCTGCTTTTTGGCTATTGCAGTTGTCCGTATACCTGTGGGGGGCAATAGATGAGTGTTTAACACACACACACAACCTTCACTGCTACCACTTCTGTTGGCAGCCCTGCAGGCCATGGTTCATCAATGCATTGCTCAAATCTGTGACCATGATTTCTAGATCTCCCTGAAAATAAGTTTTCTGCCACTTCCTCCTTGCTATTGTCATGGGGCAGCCTTTCCCTCTAGATGAGCCCGCTGGCTGTTGAGTACATAGCACGTAGCCAGTGGCCATGGCATACTCTGGATAGCAACACTTGTTTGTTTTACATCTGTCAGGCCCGCCCCATGTTTCAGTCTTCCCCGAAGACAGCCATCCTGTGTGGTGGTAATTATGTAAATGCTTGGCAGGTGATCACTGTCACACTCTGTGGGTGTTTCCCATTTGTTTCTTTAAAAAGGAAATGGTGGGTGCTTTCTGCCCACCAGGATGGCTAGTGTAAGACCAAGTAGGAACAGGTGCAGGCGAGGCGGTCCGGAAACCTCAACACCCACTGCTGGTATGAGAGTGAAATGGCTCAGTCACTTTGGAAGGTAGCCATAGCAGCCCCTCACTTAAACACAGAAATAGGGGTCACGATGTGCTCCATCAGTCTCTCCTAGGTATGTCCATAAGAAACAAGTAATTTATATACATGTAATCTCAGAGAAATGTCTGCATAAATGTTCACAGCAGCATTACTCATAATAACTGTAAGTGGGATCAACCTGTGCCCATGAGTTTATGAATGAGTAAGCAAAAGGTGGTGTTGCCACTCATTGGGATATTACTGGGCATTAAAAAAGAGGCAGTCTTTGGCACAGATGAAATCTGAAAATGATAAGCTAATTGAAAATAGTCACAAAAGACTCCAAAGTATATGATTTCCTGTGTGTAAAATGTCCAGAATGGGGAAATCCTTGGAAAATACATTAGTGGTTGTTTAGGGCTGGGGAAGAAAGGAGGAAAAAGAGGAATAGCTAAATAGTACAGAATTTCTGTTTTAAAATTGATTGGTGATGGTTACACCTGTGTGTTAGTAACTAAAAACTATAGAATTGTGCTAAAAACTATAGAATTGTGCACTTTAAATGAATGAATGAGTGTAATTGTGCACTAAAAATTTAAAAAATATGTATTTGAATATCAAAAATTTATCCCTGTAAGGTATAGTTTGATAACTTTAGAATATCAAAGTTGTGCTGTCACTACTAATTTTAAAAACGTTTTCATCATCTCCAGGGCATCAGCAATTGCTCCTTGTTCCCTCTTGCTATAAGGCTTTTGCAACTGCTTATTTGTATTATGTCTCTGACTTAACTATCTGGACAATTAATTCAAATACAGTCATAGAGTCTATGATCATTTATACCCACCCTTTCACATTTTGCTGCCCCTACCCCCGCAAGTTGGGCCTTGAATCCAGGGCCTTGTGCACACTACGCAGGCACATTACCACCAAGCTGAATGTGTAGCACTTAGCATAAATTTTTAGCATATGTTAGTACTTTATTCTTTAATGGCTGGTAGTACTCTTTTGTATGGATATATATTTACTCATTCATCAGATGATTGTACCTACTTTAAATACTGTGAATAATGTGAATTTTCATAAACAAGTTTTTGTGTGAATTCTCTTAGTACTGAGATGCCCACCTATGGTGATGATGGACAGGGCCTTAGGAGGATCTCATCTCTACTTCATCTCTGATTCGATTTCTTGCTATCTTGAGCAGCAGCTGGTCCCCTGTGTACTGAGAGCCTGGCCACCTTAAACCTGACCCTTCCCTCCCCAGATGACTTCCCAAAGCCACAGATCATCACCCAGCCAGAGACAACCATAGCCGTGGTGGGCAAGGACATCCGGTTCACATGCTCAGCAGCCAGCAGCAGCAGCTCCCCTATGACCTTTGCTTGGAAGAAGGACAACGAGGTTCTGGCCAATGCTGACATGGAGAACTTCGCCCACGTCCGTGCGCAGGATGGAGAGGTGATGGAGTACACCACCATCCTGCACCTCCGTCGTGTCAGTTTTGGGCATGAGGGCCGCTACCAGTGTGTCATCACCAACCACTTTGGCTCCACCTACTCGCAGAAAGCCAGGCTCACTGTGAACGGTATGAGGGTGCTGTCTTTGTGGTTCTCTGCAGGGTTCCCACAGACCCCACTCCTGATTGGCCTGACCATTACCCATTTAAAGATGACCAGGAAGGAGACACCAGTTTTCTTTGGGTCCCCATAAGTTCCTGTCTAAAGTAGATTTCTTCAAGAGAAAAGGCCACCCCCTTAGCTTCCTTGGGACAAACATGCGTCAGTTTTCCCACTGTAATTCTATCTTGATGGAACAGGTAGTTTTGTTTCCCCGGCTCTTTCCTGGTAGCTAGTTAAAAGAGGCATGCTTTAGGCCTCTGCTTCTAGGGGACTTCTGTATACAAGCTGATGACCATGAGGTGGAATGATCCATCCCAGGTCTTACCCTTGAGTGAGTTAGCAGCAGCCCGGAGAGTAAGGGAAGGTTGATGGAGAAGCTGGCCCGTGGGGGTGAGAATGCTGCATCCAGGGTGAGGAGGCAGTGAGCTGACACCCAGGCACAGTGCAGGGAGGTCTGCTCTGGGGAGCATTTCCCTGGCTTTGCATCTGCTGCTGTCCCATATCTTCCCCTGAATGCACTGTCTTCCAGTGTTGCCGTCATTCACCAAAATGCCCTATGACATCGCAATCCGGACTGGTACCATGGCCCGCCTCGAATGTGCCGCCACTGGCCACCCTAACCCCCAGATCGCCTGGCAGAAAGATGGAGGCACAGATTTCCCTGCTGCGCGTGAGCGACGCATGCATGTCATGCCAGATGATGATGTGTTTTTCATCACTGATGTGAAAATAGACGACTCGGGGGTTTACAGCTGCACTGCCCAGAACTCGGCTGGCTCCATTTCAGCAAATGCTACCCTGACTGTCCTAGGTGTGCTATTGATGCATTTTGGGGGTTGAGGAGGGAGTATGTCAGAGAGAGACACATTTAAATACTAGAAGCACCCAGAAGGAAGCTTGTCAGACTGCTCTGTGGATCCTGGATGGGCTGTTTCTACCGAGTTAAGTTTGGGGCTAGTTTCTAAGATTTTCCTTGAACAGGAGTTTGTTCTCTGTGTGTCTCTCTCTCTTGTACATGTTTACAGTACGTCATGTATAACTCATCTTGAAGAGTAGGCACATGTACACAACACATTTCTTTTTTTTAGTTCCCATCTTGTATTCAGTGATGGTGTGGATTTTTTTGGAGAGCTTTCAGCAATGAACAACCCCTGTGGCATGCATGCCGTAGGTTTGCCACCGCTGCTCTAGTTCTGTTTCTTGGGCGGGGGGCTAATAGCCAATGAATGAAGCACCTTCATAAGACTCGGGTGTATAACAAAGTGAGTAAGAATTGACCTCTGAAATGGCAGGATACATGTAGTCCTGGTCAGGTAGAGGGACACAGCACAGTTCGGGAGGAGCAGAGCTCTGTGCTAAGAGGTCAGTACCTATTCCTTGTGAAGGCACCCTGAAGAGCATGGCACCATGCATATCAGAGGGCATTTTACTGATATGGAGGGTTGTCTAGAACAGGAAGTAGATCTACAGTAACTGAGGCTCATGGGATAAAGGCATGAACTTGCACTGACCTCTTGCAGAAACCCCGTCTTTGGCAGTACCCTTAGAAGACCGCGTGGTCTCTGTGGGAGAAACTGTGGCACTGCAGTGCAAAGCGACTGGGAGCCCTGCACCCCGCATCACCTGGTTCAAGGGGGATCGCCCACTGAGCCTCACTGAGCGGCACCACTTCACGCCCGGCAACCAGCTGCTGGTCGTGCAGAATGTGGTGGCAGAAGATGCGGGCCGCTACACGTGTGAGATGTCCAACGCCCTGGGCACGGAGCGTGCGCACAGCCAGCTGAGCATTTTGCCTGCCCCAGGCTGCAGGAAGGATGGGACCACTGTGGGCATCTTCACCATCGCGGTGGTGTGCAGCATTGTCCTGACGTCTCTGGTCTGGGTTTGCATCATCTACCAAACCAGGAGGAAGAGCGAGGAGTACAGCGTCACCAACACAGGTTAGGCCCTGCTGCCAGAGCTCACTGCCAGGGGAGGCAGAGCAGCATTGACGGTGAGGCCAGGTCCAGAGGGCTGGTCAGGAACTCGAGCGTAGTCAGAGCCCCAGGCCCTTTGGGATGATGGTGCTCTGGACAGTGGAGCCTTTAAGCCACAGACAGTGTTAACTCTAGGCATGTGCACCAGCTGAGAATAGTGTAACATATGTGTGCCTGACAGAGCAACTCTGGTAATTCAGTTAGCTCTCCAGCCTCACAGTGGTGTGCTTCTATGAGCTCATCACTCTACGCGGGCACTGACTGCACAGCAGGGTGCCTAGTGCCAGAGCTGTCTTGCTTCTGAGTAAATGTACATGTGCATTTGCTGTCACCATGGCCTTAATGTATCATTGTCTTATCTCTGCAGATGAAACTATTGTACCACCAGATGTTCCAAGCTACCTCTCTTCTCAAGGGACTCTTTCTGACCGGCAGGAGACGGTGGTCAGGACAGAGAGTGGCCATCAGGCCAACAGACACACTGAAAGCAATGGTAAGGCCTCAAGAACAGTGGAACAGAGGTCTGGGGTGACTGTGGGCCCAGGGCAGGTTCTGGCTTTAGAGGAGCACACTGGTAAACAGCAGACTGCACGGGAAATGGCTTCTGGTGATCACTATTTGGGTCTAGTGTGGTCTACATCAGAATAAAGTAGGACTGATGGGAATAATAGCCAGCATACTGCTTGTGCAGTCACTCCTTCAGTATGGATGGATTCAACCAAGCACAGAATGAAACACTCAGTTAAAAAAAAATATTTGTACTTAACATCTACAGACCATTTCTTCTCATTCTCTAAACATACACTATAATTACTATTTACATAGTATTACATTTTAGTAGGTATTATGAATAATCTAGAGATGACTTAAAGTATATGGGATGATGCTCATACATCCTATGCAAAAACTATTTTATGCAAGACACTTGAGCGGCTCTGGCTTTTGGAGGAGCCTTGGACCAATCCTTTGTGGATACCAATGGCTGACGAGAGAGAGAGAAATACCCAGGTCTGCTCTCTGTTTTAATCTCTAGAAAGTTCTAGAAAGGGGAGCAACTTCAGATGGTGGATGATTCTGGGCACTTGCCTGGAACCACAAGGGTTTATCCTCCTAACAACTTTCACATGGCTATAAATGCTGAGTCTACCTGCCAGGAGGGTAGAATTAGAAAACAGGCTCCTTGCTGGACCTCTTGGGGCATATAATCCTCCACTCAAAAGCAAATTCATAAAAAAGGCTGTTTGAGTGTCCCTGTCCATTCATTCCCTGTGTGAGGCTTTCCAGGAAGTACCAGCAGTGTTTCTGACTGGGAGAATCTATTGCAGGTGTTTGCCTGAGAGACGCAAGCCTCTTTCCAGAGGTCGATATTCACACCATCACATGCAGGCAGCCCAAGCTCTCTGTGGGATATATTAAAGAGCCCTGGAAGGTGACGGAGAAAGCCAGTGGGACGCCTGGTCCACCTAAGATGGGTAGGAAAAAGTAGTTTGCTTTTGAAATCCAAATTTTGGTTGATGTACTCACTATACAAAAGGGAGAGACACATCATTGGTTCAGTACTGTGTCTAAATTTGATATTCAGTATATAAACAAGAAGCTCTTGCCTGACTTCCTTTCAGCTGTAGAATACTGTTTCCTAAGTCTGAGCATGAATTTCTAAAATTTACAAGCAACCTAAGGGACAAGACCCCAAAATATAGTTTTAGTGCTTTTTTTTACCAGGGATATTTTAAGGTTAAATTTCTCATTGTTCAAAGGACTCTGAGCCTCATTTTTTGTCATGATTAAAAGTAGTATGACCATATTCTCTGTGTACAAAACCACACCTGGAACGTTTAATTCACTAGCAGCCTGAGTATGCCTAGGCCCTCTTCTGTGAACATGCTTTGGGGAGGAATGTGAGTATACTCAGGTATGTGTGTTGGTGATACAAACATCATGCTCACCTTTCCATAGCTGAAGGAGAGAAGCAGCCTGTGCCTTGTGTGGAGTTGGGGATGTCAGTGATGACAATGGTTGTCTCTGCTCTGTCCTTCAGAACACAGTGGCCCTGTTGTATGTAGTGACTGCAATGCTGAGATGGACAATTATTCCAAGGAACAGTCCTTCTATCCTCAGCCTGTGTCCAAAGACAGTGCACAGCCAAGTACAGAAGATAGCCGGGAGCCCAGTCATCAAGAACATTCTTCCCAGCACCCTCACAGTGGGACTTCTGAGGTGTCCTGTACAGACTGCAGGGGTTCCCTCTACCCTAGTAACCATGACAGAATGCTGCCATCCTTGAAGAGAAAGCCTGTGGCATCTCCAGATGGAAAAGGTAACTTCTGTGTGTCTTCTGAGGCATCTTTAGCAGGTGGATTAGAGCCACATAAATGGTCAGACTGGAGGGTCTGATCTTCCCTGTCTTTTCTCCTAGGGGATTCCTCTTGGTCTTTAGCACGATTGCATGGATCAGACTCCCCAGACCAACAGCCTACATCTACATTAACTTCAGGAAGCCCAGAGCTCCCAGAAACCCAGCACTTGCTTGTTTCCAATGGCCACCTCCCTACGGCATGTGACTCTGGTCCTGAATCTACAACACTGACAGGACAGCTCCCCAGAAAGTGGAGGGGACCACTGCTGTTGGCACCAAAAAGCTAGGCTTTGTCTACCTCAGCTCTTGTCGTACCATGGCTTGCAGGAAAGAGGTAGGAGGGGCTATGCGAAGCTGGGCTGCAGCATCACTGACCTGTACATAGTCTTAACTCCGTGCGGATTAACAGTCACAGGACTTGCATCGGAAGCACAGAAATGCAAGAGGCTATTTGTGTACAAAAGGCAGAATAAGTATTTGATACCATTGTACATAAGAGTTTTCAGAGATTTCATATATATTATATATCTTTTACAGAGGCTATTTTAATCTTTTAGTGCATGGTTAACAAAAGAATTATACAATTTTGACAATATTATTTTCATATCAGGTTGTTTAATTTGGGGGGGATGGGGAATAGTTCTGGTGCCTTAATGCACAGCTGGAACTTAGGGTGAAAACCACATTTGCTCCCCAGCACTTCTAGTAGCTTGGGAAGAATGGGAGGTCCTTGGCTTCCTGTGCCAGTCAGACTGCCCATGCCGTGTGCAAGTCACTCATCTCTGCAGAGAGTAACTACTTACCGTAGGTTTCAGTTCATTCTCTAAGGGGAGAATTGTTAAGCCACCACAATTAAGCACTGCCTTTCTTCCTTCTTTGAAGTTCATTTTATGATAAAAGCAAATATGGACTTTTCTGGATCCTTGGATTGTTATTTGAAGCTTTTGATTAAGGTAAAGGCTGCTGGTGTTGGTACCTGTGGATTTTTTCAATAGTGACGTTTTAGTTCTGCCAATATATTACATTAGAGGATGAAAAGGATAAAGTTCTCACTTTTCAGGGCTAGCTTATTTCTACTGAAGAGCCAGAGCAGGCCTGTCCACACCGTTCCCCTCGCACAGATGGATCTGGGCTTGGACTGTACACGATTTAGCCCCAGTCCTGGGTATATTTGCACTTTTGAGACCTGTAGCTAACCATCTTGTGAGTGCCAACGTGTAATTCAGTAAAAATTACCTTGAAACAAGCAAGGTTTTAAAATCTCAGAGAGCAAGTTTCTTTAGCCAAATGCTGAAGGGAGGTGTTGACAAAATGGTTACCTATGTTAAATTTTACTGTCAGAGGTCATCACTGTTCCAAAGGTAAGCACATTTAGAATTTTGTTCTCAAGTTAACTAATGTTACTTCCAAAAAATATGTGAATTTGCTGCTTCTGAGAGGCAATGTGAAAGAGGAAGTATTACTTTTATGTACAAAGTTATTTATTTATAGAAATTTTGGTACAATGTACATTTAAAAACATGTAAAATATTGAAGTGTCTAACAAGTGGCATTGAAGTGTCTTTAATAAAGGTTCATTTATAAATGTTCAGTGTATAGCTGGGGTCATTCTGTTGTAAATGCAGTCATTTTTTGCTTTTAATATTTTTCCCCCAAAAGGACAAAAACCCTTAAGTGAAATAGCATTGTGCACTATTGCTGCAAGGAAGACATCACTGCTAGATGCCTGCGATTTCGCCTGTTGTTGGCTACACCTGGACCTTGTTAGTGGCCCTCAAATCCCCAAGTGTGCTGACCTTTCCCCATCTTCCGTCCTGCTTCCAGCGTTGAGCTCATAACTCCAGGCCGCAAACCCTGCTGAGAGGAGCAATGCCATGCACAGTGTGCACCAGGCCTCCTTCAGCCTGCCAGGGACAGGGTGGCGTGAGGCTCCACTTTCCGATGCGCTGGGCCGCCCAGGCATGGGACCTGCCACCGCTGGCTGGCTTTCACACACCACAGGGGTCGATGGACACGTCTCAGGAAAATAATACCATCGTGTGTTTTTAGAGGTGAAATAATGAAAAACAGCAGCCTGGTTCCAGAAAGAATGCATGCTATGCACCTGTAGTTCATTTTTTTTAAACAAAGCTGAAACCTTACACAACAGGAATTTACCCAGGGGAGCAACAGTCACACAAAGCATTTTGCCCTAACTCCCTTCCCTTTCCTTAGCTATCCCTTGTTTTTGCTGCATTCACCATCAGGTGGCAGGAAATGAAAGATCTGATTGAACGAAAGCTCTGAAGAGCTAGGCCTCGGCATCACCACACTCATTTATTGAGATTCTGAGGAGAATGTTCACACTGTTACCATGGACACGGTTTCCTTCTGGCCCCTGCAGGTGACGACCCGACTCCAGGCTGCCTGTGGCTGATGTTTCTCAAGGTTGCAGTCCGTGCAGCCTGGGCTGCAGCCCGGTTACGCTGTTGAGGACGCTGTTGAGGACGGAGTGACGACGCGGGGGAGGCGGGGTCTTAGCACAGCCCCCTTTCCCCAGGCAGCACGGATGCACCTCTGCCTCACCCACTCCTCCTGCCCACTCTCAACAGCACGCTGCGGGCTTGGTCATAAGCACCCAGAAAGATGAACCCTCCCAGGCTGATGGCTGCCATTCGGGGGATGACACCTGCGAATAACCTAGGGGAAGAAGAGGTTTTTTAAAGAAAATGGTGTGTAAAAAATGGTTGTATTTTTAAACCTATAGCGTTCAATTCAACCTACACTGCAGATCAATGTCCCTGATAAAAGGAGTCAAAGGGCTGAATCCAGTAAGCTGGAGGGTACATTCCAGGATGACCCTGAGTGAGGGGTCTCAGGAGTCATCTGGGGGAGACAAGCAGACTTGCAAGTAAGTCTGATGGTCCTGCCAGGGACTCAGTCACATTTTGTCCTCAAAACCTCACAAATGTGATGCCATAAGGAGGAACCAAGTCTCTATGGATCCTTTCTTTTTCAGTCCAAATTAGGACTAAGTGGGCACAGAGTGGCTGCACAGCCTAGGCGCAGCTCTGGATCCCTGGCAGAGAAGAGAAGCATTACAACCCTCTCCTGGCTGGGTACAAGTCCATGTTCACATGTGCTCACTGCAGATAACCCTGGTCACTTAGCGGGGCACAGAGTAGACAGCTGACAGGGAGCAGGGCACAGGCACCAGCAGTGAACATTCACAGCACACATGTAAAAGCAAGTCCGTGGGAGGGCACACTAAGGGTGGCCCTAGCGCACTAACCTGCTTTCTGTGGAGGCCAGGGCAGGAGACCTGTCCCATCCACATTTTCATCATGTCTGACACCTCACCAGAAGGGTGCTCTCTAAGTAGAAACCATGTCTAAAGTCACAGCTAATGGGCAGACTAATGAAAAAGTCCATTCAGGGCAAAGCTAGAGCAGAAAACTGAAAAGGCTCAGATGCCACCAGGAGCTGTGCATCTGGGGTCATGGGGCAGCCAGTGGGGAAGCAGAAGGACGTCCCTGCGGCCCTCGCAGTCCCCTCCTGTCCCCTGGCTACTGCTCTTCACATGCAGCACCAGCACCTGTGGGAAGCATGAATTTTAATCATTAAGGAAAATACCTCACATAAAATTAAGAACCTCTCTTACCTGAAAATAAACATGAAAATCTGACAGACCAAAACACAGAGTAAAACACACATTCCAGCAAAAAAGAGTTGTTCAGCTCAGCATGGTGCTCGTGGTTGTTGCATGAAGTGTCCGGGAGAGCAAAACCCAGTAAATTACTGCTGTGAAGCCACTCTTTCTGGCCTAAAAATGGGCTGATCTTCCTAGTCCTGCCCTGCAGAGTGCTAAAATGAGGTCAGCAGAAACTGCTGTGGAAGACCACATTGGCCACAAGTTCTTTCACTATCTGATTTCTAAAAGCCAGCCTTATTCAGCTCTTGCCACTAACATGCTTCACTACCCGTGGGGAGAGGCAGATGGAAGCAGTTTATGGTTTCCCTTGATGACAACTGAAGCTACTGACATAATTGCAGCCTGAAGGTAATTTGTACAGGGAGCGCCCCAAACCAAACTTGGAGGCAGAGGCTTGCAAGGAAGCAGGGGTGTGCATCAGTGTCCATGATCAGATGAGATCGCAGATGTACAGCATTTCCCACGGCACTAGGCACCCAGGGGAGCTCACGGCAGTCACTGTTACCACTAAGGGCACAGGCAAGAAAAACAAGCCGGTTGATCTAGAAGCCATAAATACACAGGCTTGAGCTGGGCGTGTTAATCCCAACACTCAGGAGGCTGAAACAAGAGGATCCCCACGAGTTCAAGGCCAGACTCGACTACAAAGTGAGTTCAAGGCCAGTCTGAACTATGCAGTGACAGCCTTTCTCAAAAAAAAAAAAAAAAAAAGGAAAATACACAGGCTTCCCATCTGCTCTCTGCCATTGCACTGACTGGGCATGTGGGACTTCTATTTAGCGGGGAGATCTGCCTGCCCTACAGCGTGCAGTCCACAGCCTTTGCCTGGTAAATGGACATGGAGACACAAAATGATCTCCACCTGCTCTGACCATGAGAGGGCAGCGCCATCTACAACCAAGCGGGAAGCACTATCTGCTGGGAATGAGTGTGGGAGTGTGGGGGCATGAGGTCAGGAAGCAGCAGGGGCTTTCAGCCTGAGCATGAAACAGAGAAAGTCAGCTGAGCCACCTTCTAGGCGGAGGATGCCTACGACCATGACTGAGGACAGCTGCCCAGGCCTGCAGGGGTTTTTGTTTGTTTTGCCTTTTGGTCAAATTCCTTGTCTTTCACCATACTAACAAGGGGGCTACTAAAAGTGTCCTATCTTAAATGACAGCCTTTCTGCCTGGAGTATGCTGCTCAGGACTACCTGTATTGCCAACTAGAACCCAAGACTTATGAGACTTGTAGAAGCTAAGGAAAAAGCCCCTCACCTTTTCAGGAGAACACTGCAGGCAGAGCACAGAGAAAGGCCTCATCGTGACACCTCCCTCCTCTGCCTTATAATTCTGGCAGCACTTAATTTTATTATAACATGAAGTCTATGCCACAACTGGGTCAGGAAAGACTGACTTTCCATGATCCATTCAGGTAATTCTTGCTCTACCAGCTTTCAGAGCCCATGGTTTTGCCCAGGGATCGTGCCAGCTCCATTACCACCTTCTCAAGAAAGGCAGGTGGGCTGCAGTCTGACCTGTACTCCACAAAGCCAAGGTCAACAGCAAAGTTTCAGCTAGCAGTTTCCATAGAGTCTAACATGAACTACACGGAAACAAGAATGCAGTCTGGCAGATTGCCTTTATGACCTAAGAAAACTACTGTCATGCAATCTCTCCGCACACAAGGCCCAGTCACTGCAACACAAGAATCTTACCAGCTACTTTACACCTGGCATCACAGCTCATTTTTCCCTCATTCCATTTCTTTGCTCAGTACAAACTTGATTCCAAAATGAATGGGCCTCTGATATGAGAAATCAGATTCACTAGATATCAGCCATGACTGGCATATTCATAGCACAAATGCCACTATTCTTCCCTTCTCATGCTCTAAAACTTCAAAATTCAGTTTGTCATGTCCACTAGACGCACTCCTGTTTCAATCCATCGGCACCCGAAGTTACCTACTTTCCAGAGGAGGTTTCCAGTTGAAACTCTGTGCCAAGGACAGGGCTGCTTTCCTTCCCAAACATGAACTGGGCCTTACCTCCCTGCTTTAAGTTCCTTGACTGTCAAACAGCTGGAATCCACACTACTCAGGGCACACAGAAATCCAATCAAGTAACCCAAGCCAGCATGGGATGAGAAGTGGCATACCAGCAGGTGAAGAGGCCCACTGGAGCCTCACCCAGGCCAGCCCAGCACCAGGCTTCCTGCCCTGCCCTGCCCAGAGGGAGCCCACTGCTTTGCTCTTACAGGATCATCCCAGGTAGAAGATTCCAAAGAGAAAGTTAAATTTCCCTTATCTGTAAGATTCCAATATTTATGCACTTTGGAAAGTTACCCTATGAAAGCACTGTTCGAATAATATTTGAAGAGGGAACTTTTAACAGAAGGAAGCTAAAAGTTTGAGGCACTCAGCAGATTATATATTATAGATACATAATATTAGATATTATAATAATACAGATCAATTATTCTCAGCTGAGGTGTCCTGCGTATGGCATGCTGAAAGTGTAGGCACCCACAACATAGCAATATGTGGGTGAAAGACAACCACATAGACTGTGGTAGTCCCCAAGATTGTGATGCAGGTGAGTGGCCTACAACATTCAGTATAGTAACCTGCAAGACAGCATCGTAGCCAAGGGGCAGCAGGCCACCCTTCACAGCCTGGGTGTGTTCCAGGCTGGCCTGTCCAGGTCTGTGTAAGCACACTCACGGGCACACAATGACAAAACCACTGCCAACAAACAAAATCGCCTGTCCACACAGACCACATCCTTGCCATAAGGCAGCATGTGGCTGTGCTCAATTGTTAATAATAGTAAACAGCGCCCAAGCCACAAATGCTGTCTTCTAACAGTGCAGCCTTCCTCTGCTTGCATTTCTGCAGAGTGGAACAGAACCTCTTTTGTCTATGCTGCGGCCCAGATGTGGGTGGGGCCCACACATGGGAATATCATCAAACATCAAGATGGGTGAGAATGGCCAAAATATTCCAAAGCATGTCATTAATTATCTCACACATCCAATATCAAATAAAACATGTCGTACAATCCAAATAAAGGGCCCAAATGAGAACATAAGCAGAAAATGGAGAAAGGTGTTCATCTCACAGTAGGCTGAAAGAGGAGGAGCTGGTGGAGAGAAGGCAAGGCAGCTGCGCGTCCCGTGTCCTTACCCTGTCAGCCCCTGTGACCTCCAGACCCCTTGCAAGGCAGAGATCACGTTCCCACCTGCGGTGCTGGACCCGGCCTGCAGGAACAGACAAAGGAAAAATCCATTAGCATCTGACACTCTTCAACCTACAGCTGGGCTCTCAGAGGTCCGGATGCATGCCCTCATCCAGAACAGAGCTTCAAACAGTCCAGAGGGCTGCTCCGAAATCAAGACCTGTTCTCACCAGCCCAGAAACACATTCAGTGCTTACATTCATGCAGTGAATTGGCCATTAGCACAGAGGGAAGTTGCTTTTTAGAGCTTACCCAGGTTCCTGACATACCTGGGAAAGACTGATCAGCTGATCTGAGGAGGGTAGGGTGTCACCAGTGTAAGTGGTATAATTAAGATACAAGCACATTTAATAATACTAGGTTGACTTAAAACCTGACCCATAGTCTTAGGTTTTTGGTCCTGTCCACCTATATAGTAGGACTCTGCTCACCTTTTGTTCTACTTTTCCACAAGGATAGGACTTTTTAAAAATTGCTTTGGTCAAGAAACATTATTCATGTGACTTTCTTTGAAAACTTAGTCTAGCCTTAAAAGAAAGTTTTAAATTTTTAACAATTATAAAAAAAAAACCTGGACAGTTTATTCTACTCAATATCAAAGCTTACTTAAAAGCTACTATAATTCAGCTACTGTGGTACAAGAAAAAGGAAAGACAAATCTACCAACAGAATTGTTTTAACAATTGTTACAAATGATTCTAACAACTATGTCTCATTTGGTTAAGGCCAATCATGATCTATGTTCACAGCCTATAGCAGTGATGGAGAACCTTTTAAGTGCTTTCAATTATAACAAGCAGTTGACTGCAATATACATGGCACACATTAGCCACCACTGGCCTGTAGCTTAGTTGCTGTATGATAGAAAGCTAATATACTTTTCCAAGCCTGAGGTGTGTCACTGAAAAACTGTAGATTTGATACTAGTATTGCCAGGTAGAGGCTCAGACTTGTTTATGTAATGCACGTGAAAATGATTTTGAAATGGAAAAATGCTGCATAGACATTTGCCACAGTTATTACTAAAACTATTTTTGTATTAGCTTTATCAATAATTCCTGGCCACTTTTATTCACTCGTATATACCTGCAAGCCCCAGCCCTAACATATAGTCTACATTATAGTATTTTGCCGCTTACCTTTGCCAACATAATTCTTGTCTTTGCCACATCCAAAGGTGTGGTGATTACAGCTGCAAAACCACCTGTGCATATAACACCCAAGTAAGACGTTTACTGGAGTAGACAGTAATTTTATTTTTTACTTGATAAGTCCTTGCAGTTCTGCCCAAATCACTCATCATTATGTCCACCTGACTCATCCAGGAATGCAAAATCTTAATTCATACACGGTGACTCCCCCACTTACAAATGGGCTCTGTTCTGGGAGGTTTGTAAGCTGGATTCATTCGTAAGCCCACAAAGTGAGTCTCATGCTGTACACATGTGAACATTCACAACTGGAATGTTTATAAGTCAGGGACTTACTGTGTTTCATCCTTCTGCAGTGATGCAGAATGGCATATAGAAGAAGTAAAAGACAATGCTTTATTGATTCAGGTATTAAAACAAGGGCTTACAACATCTTTGGCTCTTTCTTGGACTAGCGAACTAATCCGACATGCCCAGGACGTGTGTGCATGTGGCCAGACAAGAGCAGCACGCTGCTGCCCACAGCTCTGAGTCTGTGCCTCTCTGGGCACCATTCTTTAAAGTGACTCCAAGTGCATCTGTCATTTCTGTTCTGCATAAACCAATCTCGACAGAGTCGATGTATCATAGCTTTTGGGATAAACGGCTGGATCCTTCAAGACAAAATAATAACTCTCTCTGTATTTCAGCAGGCTGGTAAGAGTCACACTTCCAAGCTGTCTTCAGTGTCTTCTTACTTGCTTTCAACAGACACTGTGGCTCATGCCCGCCTTCCTGCCCGCTTTCCTGTGTTCTTCTGATCTGTCACAGTGGCCACACGGTTCACGTATTCTAACAGGGTCCACATCTGCGGGCACAGCAACTAAAAGCCTTTTTTTTCTAGTAAAATGAACTACGTATTATTGTATCAATATTTTGTTTAATATAGTACAAACAATTTTTTTTTCTTTTTTGGTACTGGGGATCCAACTTACCATCACATGCTCACCACACAGGTGCTTATACCAGTGAGCTAAATCTCAGCAAATCTCCAACAAACATAAATTTTAGAACCAAGGCCCTAGGAAACAATCATCCCTAACGGGGATCTAGGAGCTTGTGACCAGCAGCAGTTCCACACAACCTGAACAGAACACATGTGTAGAGGATGCTCTGGAAATAGCTCCTCTCTCCCTCCATCATGGCTGATGGACAAGAAGGCCATCTGACCAACACGGCTGAAACAAGGTCACTACAGTGAAGCTCTTCATACGGTAGCATTTCTTGTGACACCGACTTCTGGAAAGGTGCACTCATTTTGGGTTTATGTTCATTCTGGTTACCCACGAATGTCACACACCTTAGGGTGAAGGAGCTTCAGCATGAGTATTAGAATCTCTTTTCAAAAGTCCCTTTTGGATGATGAATGTGTGAAATGCCTGCCTCAAACTTCCAAGGGTTCCCTAAATTCTGACACCTGCTAAACCTAAATTTTGCAGATCTGGTTTTGGAATCTTACTCTTAAATTTTAAAAACACTGCTCTAGATGAGCAAACATATTTTTAATTGTAGAATAGGGTACAGGAAAGCTTCACAGCCATCCAAAAAAATATAAATCCTAAGACACAGAAAAAAACGAAACAAAGGCAACAAATACATCATCCCAAATTTCCTACTCTGAATGTTACTATATTGGGTTACTCCCTCACCGGCCCCGTGTCCACCCGGGAGTGCCTGGAAAGGACCCTTTTCTGTGGTCAGGAAGACCAATGCCTCCATGTCTGCTCTATCAGGTGACCAGTCACATGTGAATTACTTACTCCCCAGCTCTGGTACTTACGAGACCTCTCATGCCACAAGCAGAGGAAATGACTGACGCTTACAGAGCTGGTTTGTAGAAGGTAAGTGTGCCCAACTGCAGACCTAGAGTGCTTAGCCACTGGTCCATTGTTGCTGCAATATCCTCAGAAGATGCAGAGGCCTGTGACATAGGCACTGCATGAGTCTGTGACAGTGCCTGGCTGGCAGGATGCCTCACAGAAATTTGCTGTTTTTTGGGCAGGCAGAGATAATGGGTGATTTTGTGTGTGTGTGTGTGTGGTGGCAGGGCAGGGCGGGGGTGGGCAGAGAGAGGCTGGGGTTGACCTAGGGCCTTTGTACTGATCTTTATCCCTGGTCCTTATTATTTTGTATTTTGAGACTAAGTTCTGAAATTGCCCAGGCCAGGACACAACTTGCCCCAGCTTCTGAGAACACTGATATTATAGGTATGTACCATGCCAAGAATGATTTTTCTTATCTCTAGTCCAGTGCACATAGTGGACATTCAAAAATGCAGACAAACATCTATAGTTTTTCCAAATTAAAAACACGAACTCTTCCTCCAAAAGGAACAGGGAAGAGAAAGATAGATGCTGATACCTGTGTTATAATTACTCTGGAAATGCACCCAAAACCGTCACTGACACTGTCTCATTACTGTTCCCACTGTGCAATATCTAGTTTGGGGCCATGCAGCTAATATGGAGCTGGACTCAATGTCACATGTATCTTGACTGTAAAAGTTACTCTTTCCAACTGCTCTAAGCACTTTGATGCAGCATAAGACAAATTAAAATCTGTCTCATTGTTAAGACTCATTTTCCTATTTGAAAATGTTCACCAGCTTTCCTAAGCCAGTTTAAAAGGGCTAAAAGTTGATCGGGAACATTTAATCAATTTGGATATTATTTTGGCCACTGGCAAAGGTTTACCTTCCCTTGGCTGTGGATACCTGCCAGTATTCTCTTAGGGCCTTGTTTCCCCGAAGTAATAGGAAGAAAAGTTGAACACAGAAACATCTATGCACTGATAGGCCCTGATTTTAATAGTATGACAGAAACTGCTTTATGTCATTCAATGAAATATCAATTTGAAGTTCTTCAAATATCAGATTCCCTAACTCAGCCTTTGCAATGTCTGAGAAGCCTGCAGTAAGGACTGGTGAAAATAACAGAATGGAGAGAGAGTGGGGGCTGGATTTGCAGTTAACACAGCTCTTTTCTATGTTTTACTTAAGGGAGCTGCAAGCTACTAGTAAAAAATAAATACATAAAAGGAACCCGCCATCAGACAGGAGCCAACTGTCCTGCACAGCAAACACGGGCTGCGCTCGCACTCGCATCCCACTGAAACTCCACGCCTTCTCTCCCAGCCGCTGGGGATCAGGAATGTTAAGCTAACTCCTCTCGAGGGCCACATTCAGGGGAAACTAGACTTTCACAATCAAAGATCTCTCACACAAGGGAAGCAAATGCAACCCTGACCCTCTCCTAGACAAAGGAGCCACCTTTCTCCACTAAGTCAGGAGCTGTCACCTCAGGTGAGTGGCTGAGAGTGTGAAGGCGGCAGTGGGGAAGCCCCATGCCCAGCCCTAGGAGCCCACTCTTTCATGGCTGCCCTGGCCCTTCTTCCAACCCCTCAGGGCGATAAGAGGACCCCGTGTATCCCTCCGCATGATCTCCAGAATGCGCCGCAATGTCCACAAAGTGCTTTCCTGTGTCAGGCCTTCTCCTCTGTGATCCAAATAATCTTTCACTCTCTTCTAGAATTTCAAGCCCACAGAGAGATTGAGAAATTTATCTCATCCACCTCTTCTCTCTTAGACAACAGAAAGTGTTTACTATGAAAAAATTTATCAAAAACAACAATGTATCAAATAGAACTATGGTAGCAAACGTTATAACTGCACAGACATCATCGTGATTCTATGTTTAGAAATAAATTTGAAGTGAAAACGGTGGCAAACTGTTATTTTTAAAGCTAGTTTAACCCCTGATCAGAAGCCAAGGGAGTTTCTGAACATGACAAGTCGTTAACACCTCCAATCTCACAAAGACATTTCTGTACATCTTTGCCAAGGAGTTTACAAACCAGCCTGGGAAGGCAGTGGTGCCAGGATGGCACAGGGGCGGCTCACTGGCCGCACACTGGCCAGTTCACAGAAAGAAGACAGCGAGGAGAAAGCTGCTTTCTAAGTCAAAGACAAGCGTGGCCACTGCCTGGCCACATGCGGCACTTCAGGACCTTCCCGTGGCTGCCGCATGTCTCTGCACTATGTGACACAGGGCTGCAGCCAGGGCTCAGATGGTGTCATTTTCACACAATGTGGATTTTCTTGTCTCTTTTTGCTTACTGTGTGTGTGTGATGCTAGGAGATGAACCTCAGGCCTCTGCCCTAAGAGACATTCTTGGTCCTTTTAAAACACTCTTGACTTTTTATTTTTCAAGACAAAGTCTTGCTAAGTTGCTAAATTGGCCTTGAACTTGCAATCCTCCTGCCTCAGCCTCCAGAATGCTGGAATTACAGGTGAGTGCTACCACACCTGGCTGGGTTGCTCAGTGTCACAGATTACAAAGTACTAACACATATACTAGCTCAATCCCTGAAGTCATTCTTTTAGAAGGAGTGGTTGTTTTACACATGTCACAGGCAAACTGACTGGTGCTCCGGAAAGCGCCAGAGTCTCCTTCTTGCCTGACACTTGCTTCCCTTGACTGTCAGACAGATTAGCCTGGGTGGCTATGAGGCTCAGGTGTCCTCCTCCCCAACTACAGGCCGTGTCCTGGGTCCCTTGGGAACACAGGTCATGTCCCCTGGCACCCCTACATGAGCCGCCTGCCCTGAGAGGGCCAGGACAGCACTGCCTACCACACAGCACGTGTCTGATAGCAAGACTCCTTCCTCCCTCCCATAACAAGTGTTACGCGCTTAATACAGGGCTACCACCTGGGAAAAGGAATTACAGTATAATGGACAACGAAGTCCTCAACATGCTCTAATGAAGATTCTTCAAGCAAATCTTGAATTAGCTTTTTAAGGAATATGACCACAGAATATCTGCTTCTTATTTTAACACATGTTAGTTTTAAAGCACTGTTAACCTGACCAAGTGGCTTTAGCTGACAGTCTGGCTACTTTGGAGGTCAAAGCAGAAGATCACAAGTTCAAAGCCAGCCTAGGAAATGTAGGGAAACCTTGTGGCAAAACAAAAAGTGAAAAAGGACTAGGGATATAGCTCAGGGGTAGACCGCTTGTCTAGCATGGGCAAGGACCTGGTTTCAATCTCTAGTATTGCAAAAAGGAAAAGGGGGAGGTGTGGCTTATCCAGGATGACTAAATTTCCATAATGCTTACTTTGTCCCCAGGGCTCAGGAGGAGTCAACAGAACTGCACAGTTCATTTAAGGGCCGCAGCCAAGTAATGAGGACTCCTGACCCCTGCAGATGGAGAGGGAGACCACCTACTCCTTTAACACAGCTAATGACTAACTGTCATGTGGAAACAATTCCCCATCATAATCAATCTCAGTTGACGTCATATTTAGAGGCAGGAAGAATTATTTCTGACGATCATTTCCAAAGTCAAATGGGTTTAATTATTAATAAAGAATCCTATGGAAATGTAAGTTTTGTTTTGCTAATCACTACAACAAAAAAAATCCAACAACCATTAAGCAATTGGAAAGTAAGTATTTTTCAATAAATCTTAAACCAATCATCTTAAACCAATCTGCCTTTCAGTTTATCACTTTTGCATCTAAACAGTTCACAATTTTCTGGAAAATTCTGACTTTACTTCATTGCAGCTATAATTCTAATTTGCCATTAGGTGTAATGATAAAATATATTTCTCTCTTAGGCCTTTAAATATATCATTTATCAAACTCTTTAAAGATCTGAGGTCTCATTAAAACCTCATTGGAAAATTCATACGACTTAGTGATGGATAACATAATATTGCATATTGTCACTCTGCTCTTTAATGTCAGAAAAATGCCCAAATGTTTGGTTGGCCATATTTTCCATACAGCTCAGTTTAGTGTTCAGTAAGCTGTGGAGTGGCCTCTGCTCTCCTGACACCAGTTCATCTACAGCGCTGTCAAACATGTCACCCGAGCAGTGAATCATTGCCTTCTGCAGAAATTGCTTACAGCCTGAAGCACTGCTCCAGGCAGACAGCTGCACACCAAGCCGCTCACCAGCCAGCCTCTCTACCCATGGAGGACTTTATAAATCATCTATAAGGTAATCCCAGGCCTGAGCGAAGGCTTTAATAAAGATAAAAAGAAAAGGAAAAATTTGTCAAAAACAAATTGGTTGTCTTTCAGGCAGACACCTTTTTAGCATTTTTTTTCTAAGATACTTCTTTAAACATCTAGTGAAGCTCCCTTCATCTAAACAACCTGGAATTTCTAAAGAATGTTGTTTTTGCATAGTTAATATTTTCACATCCACACGCCTCCCCCTACCCTCAGTCTTTCCCAGTATTATATAATCCTTTGCACCTGCGAAAGCTCCACACACTGCTGACTGCCAAGAATCCACCACATGATCCTGCCGCCAGGACCAGAGGGCCTGTGTGTAAAGAGAAAGAAAAATACGAGTTATTAAATCTTTGAATTTATCAGAACCTCCTGTGGGTTAGCTCTGGGGATGGGAACTTAAGTGAGAAGCTATTTTGGTGGCATTTTTCACTGATGACATAAGTGATTTTCCCAAGGATTTAACTGCATTCTAAAATAAGTTAAAGAAACGAGGGCAACAGTAACAGTGGAGACTCAAAGGACATAATTTTCAGGGAATATTTCATATACACAGATTAAAATAAAATTTCTTTAAGACAATGAAATATCTTAATTTCCCATATAATTCTAAATATATAAATGATAATTCACAGTCCAGAATACTGTATGTTAAATCCAATTCTTTTAAAATACCTAACCAAATAACATGTTTGAAGGATGTTAATTCTGTTCCCTGCATGTCAATTTAAAATCTGTCAAAACTTTTTTTGGTATAGTTTATGTAATACATAAGTTGAGCGTTACACAACCAGCTGTGGCCAAGTTCAAACTGAGCAAAATTATGGCAAAGAAATGGTGCGTTGCTCATCAAGAGTTTACAGGAGATCAGAGAAAGTCACATAAAAATGCTGTCCAATAAGTCAGGCATTGATCTAATCTCCAATCGGACTTTAAAAAGCCACAGTCTTCACAGTAACACTGAGTTGGTTCCTGTTGTTACACACTTTTACCTAGGCTTTTGTTTGCTTGCTTTTGTTTCTGTTTTACCTGGGCTTTCTACAACAAGTTTTGTGTGGTATTTTGCTTAGCTTTGCTGAGATAAGTACCTTCAAATAAAGTATGCAATTTGATATTTTCAAAACAAACACAAATGAAAAAAAAGTGACACATTTTCACACATACACATGAATCACGGTTTGAGCAGGACAATGATCTTACTCGTGACTGTGAAGTTTTGTGTTCCAATGGAACCCCTCTTTTCCGCCCTTACATCCCTGAACAATCTGAGCTGACAGTATCCCAAAGCCTCAAGCGCTCACAGGTGGGGCTGTGGGGAGTCAGCAGATTATGATGCATGACACTGATAGGTTTAGCTCAGTTCTGGGTGTGGATGATGAACTTACTGAAGACAGTGGCACCGACAATAGGCTCATACCCTGGATGAAAAAAAGGGAAAGAAAGCAGGTGGGCTCACTGCTTTCTGCCTGCCCTCCATGGACCAGTTCTCCTCCGCCATGTGCCACTCTCCCTTGGAGCCAGCTGACCGCGGACTAAAACCTCTACACACTTCGAGCTAAAATAAACCTTTTCTCCTTTAACTTGTGGGTGTCGGCTATTGTTTCCCAGTAATGAGAAAGTAACTAAGACATTATTGCAGTTTGGCTTTTCTAGATTTTTTTGGAAATATAACTGCACATTAGTTTTTAATCTAGCACCATTCAGAATTATTTTATGCTTTACTCATGTCACTGGAGATACCAATAGTTCATAATGTGTCATAAGTTTACTGACCTGTGGATGGGCATTCAGAATTTTTCAGTTTAGAGTTAATACAAATAAAGCCACAATGAACATTTGTACCTAAGGTGAAGCAGCTAGATCACATGGCTAGGTACCTTTTCGAAAACTGCCAAATATTTCCCAAAGTGGTTGTAAAACTTTACATGTCTAACAGTTCTGGTTTTTCTGTGTACTTCCCAGTACTTGGTATTGTCAGGATTTTAAATTTTCACCATTACAGCGGTACCTCGGCTCATGAACATTATTCTGCCATGATTCTGGTTGCAAACTGAGTTAGATGAGAACCAAATCAAATTCAATGGTTAGGTTCAGCGCTGACCTTATGGAGAAATTGTATTTGGTTCTCATTCAAAGCAATTTACAATTAGCTTGTGGAAAGAACTGAGTCGTGAACTGAGGTAGCACTGTATAAATGTGGATGGATGGACAGATGGACAGACAGTGCTGTTATTAAATGCAGTGTCTGGCATATGTTCAGAAAATGCTCGAATGTTTACAAATAAACCTGTTTTCTTATGGAAAACATTTTTCCCAGAGCACTTACAAGCTCTAGAGAGAAAATAAGAAAATGGCAGAATAACTTTGTTTTTTCAAAAATTAAGTTTATTGCTATCTTTCAGCTACATATAATGATCATATTTGTCTTAGGAAATTTGATCTGTACGGATATACCCTGATTCTTTTTTTTTTTTACTTTTAATATCATGAAATTTTTCATGAATTATTTCAGTTTTCTTGCCTGCCTTTTCTTTAATGCTGGGGGTTGAGACTAGGACCCTGCACATGCAGTCCAGCACTGAGCGACACCCCCAGCCCTGAAGGTCACTTTTAACACCACCCCTTCCTACAGGAGCCCCAGAAGGAATGTAAGACATAGCTATAGCTAGGTGGTTCCTGATGAGCGCAGGATATCTTCAGTTAATCTTCTGATGTCTTCTAAGGAGTTCTCCAAACAGGCTTAAAATATAAGTAATAATGCTGAGTTTACGAACAACAGTAAACAGTAACAAGATGTGAATGACATGTCACACGGGAGGGAGGACTCCAAGACCCCATGTGATTCATTAACCCAGCAATTACCCAGCACCTCCTCGGTGTCAGGCACTGCGCACTCAAGGAAAACAATCTTTCTTTGTTATTTTATTACTTATGTTTTGTTTCAAGGAAAAAACATTAAGAGCTACAAGGTCTAATATGTGAGGGAGGTACAGAGGGGCAGAAGAGAGTGATAGGAAAGGGAGAAGGGCACGGCAGAAAAGAGCCTGCTGTAACCCAGGGGGAAGGTGTGGTGGCTGCAGGACACCATCCCAACAGACCCAGAAGCTGAAGGCAATTTAAAGGTACAGGCTCACAGAGAAGCAGACAGCCACTGTCACTTGTCCAGAATTAGTCTGGGACACAGAAAGAAACCACTGTGCATTACGAAGAGATCTTAATGCCTTAAGAAAAATGAAACCAAAAAATCTAGAGCAAACGAAACATTTAAAGTCAAATGACAAACTTCAGCAACAAACTCAGAGCACAATATAAATAATGATTATAGCAGAAACCACAATACATAATTCTACTGAACTGTGTCCAGGGTACTAAATATTCTCTGCCTCTGTCTATCTGTCTCTGTCTCTATATACATATTTTTATTTTCATGGAATCCTCACCAGAATCTTGCGAGGCATGTGTGATTTTTAAGATTTTTTTCATTTTATAGATAAGGAAATTAAGCTCAGAGATTTTAAGTAACTTGGCAAGGCTCACACAGCGGGTGAGCAGAATTGGGACATGCAGGAGATGATCTGGAGTATGGTGTACGAACGCTTGATTTCCACTGGCAGGGTGTCACTGTGTTGGCAGCATATACAGTGATGTAGTTTTTTTTTTTTTTTCTTTTTTATCAGTACCAGGGATTGAACTCACGACCGCTTGCTTGCAAGGCAGTGTGCTTATGCCGCTGAGCTAAATCCGCAGCCCCTACAGTGGTATTTTTAAAACATATACTTCCACCTGCACTCAGGAGGCTGAGGCAGGACACTGCCATGAGTTCAAGACTAGCCTGGGCTACATAGTAAGTTCAAATCCAGCCTGAACTACATAGCAACACAAAACAAAACAAAACACTCCCACATTCTTCCATACACAGATCGCAGTGTCTAATAGAATGATACTAAAATACACACACATATTGTGCCAACATTCTAAACAACTTCCTTAAATATGATTTTGACATTTTTTATGTGAAAAATTTTATGGGAAAGTAATGTTGAGATTAATTTAAGCAGATGACTGTTATTTATAAATGATTCATTAGGGAACAACTTTAAATTCATAAAGCAACAATAGGAACCTGACTGATAAAGTGTACTATTTACAAATTAGAGAACTCTTTTTAAAATTATAAATTTGCTCATGTATTTGATGAGCAGGCAGACTATAATTAAAAAAACTGGTTAGAAAGTCTGAAGTATTCACAAAAAAACTAAAAAGTACTGGTTATGATACTTAAATCATTTAACATTGAATGGAGAGTAGAACAAAATAGTGTATTCACTAGCGTGCATAATTAGTAAGGACATTACCAGTCACCATTTATTGCATATCATGTTCCAGGCATTATACTGAATATATATATACCTGTGATTCTCATTTAATTTTGAAAATATTATTATTCACAAGGACAGGTGAAGGGCAAGCGCTAAGAGATGCTAAACAACCTGCCTGAGTTCACATGGAGAGTGAGTGGGGGAAGCTGAGGCTCCCCACAAGTCAAGTATCTTGGAGAGGGTGACAGGAGAACAGTACATACGCCACCTTACCAGATTCCTGACTGCCATTCACAGCTCAGCTCTAGTGGAGGAACATGACAGCACACAAAGAAAATATTTCTATTAAAGAAAATGTTTTCATGTCAATGAACTCATTTGATATCAATAAAGTTGTTTAAATGTCGCTTTGTAATGGGACCTTATTTTGAAGGAGCTGTCCAAATATCAACCAAATTTTTAACAGCCATGATTACTCAACCTAAATTCACATTTCCACTGTCACCAAGATTTAATGATGGCTCCTGTTAAGGCAGGTAGAGGAGGGAGGGAGGGAAGGAACAAAAAGGGGCCCAAACCTGATGAATCTCAACTCCTAAGGTAGAGGCTCTGCTCCAAAATAAATATAAGAGTGGGGGAAAAGGTAGGAAGCCATCCTTAGTCTGGTGTTTGCCTACTTATCCCAATCCAACTTTCTTTTCAAATAAAAGTGAAATTTCAGGTGCATTTATGGATATTTATTTGCATCAAAGACAAATGTCAAGCTTAAGTAATGAGGCTGGCAATCACAAAGAAATATTTTTAATTTCCCTCCCACAGTTAAAGCTTCCTTAACATAAGGAAATGAGAAAAACATTACCCCAAAATAATGTTAGATATACAGAAGAGCTGTAAAAATGGTAGAATTCTGATGTCACCTTCACTCAGTTTCCACAGTAAGAAATCGAAGCAGGAGACTGAAATACTAAACTGCAGGCCTCGCCTGACTCTCACC